ACTGTCTATTAGCGGGTGTTGCGTTAAAAATTGACTCGCGCATATCGTAACCATGATAAGGTATGCGTAAATACTGGATGACGCTATTCGGTTTTCCGATATCTCTCTAATAACTGTGCCGGTCAGGCGCTGTGCACAAATTTAGAGGCCATAAGTGGGCGTGCTATGTGCGCAAACTAGTCACCTAACTAGTGCCCGATTCCGAAAATTGGAACCACGAAAAACAATAAAGAAAAAACAAAGATTATAATCTGTATAATCTGTGATGTAGATGCTTTTACATCAAAGCTCCTCTCCTAATTTTTAGTAGAAAAAGCTAAAAAATAAATCAAAAGTAAAAACCACTTAAAACGAAAACGAGCCACATACACGGTTTGGAAAATTGCGGTTTACGACCTTCTAGGGTCTAATAAACACGCTAACCACCGAGACAAAGCCGTTTTTGGTTGAAAGAATCCAAGCTCAGACTTGCCTGGTTCAAAGCACTGCGATCTCCAGCGATACGAAAAATTTTAACGATTTTTAACGCCAGGCTAATGAATGTGACCACAATGACCACAATACCGGTATAAGATTACCTTAGGAACATAAAAAATTAAACGTATGTGCATTTGTACCAATATTTATTAAGCTTTTTTCTGAATCTTGCGATCTGGAGAACTGATTGACCGAATCTTCTGGAATGAATGATTTTTATTAACATTTTTATTCAAGTATCTTTTATACAGGGTGGTCCAAACTGTATTTCGGAAACTTCGGCAGCATATTCTGCAGATAAAAATAAGTAAATAGTTCGTATAAATATATGTCCTAAAGTGCTTAGTTTTGGAAATACAGGGTGTAGAAGTTTCATTTTTATTTCGATTTTTGGATGAAAATTGGTAAACAATCTAATAATTCTACGCAAAAAATGTCTCTTGGTAAAAATCGCTACGAGCAACCGTTCTCAAGATAGTTAGAATGTGAATAGTCAATATATGTCATTATTGACAAAAAATAAACATGTTGAGTAGTAGTTATTTGACTGAAATGCTATATTTGGGAAATTTTTATTTTTTTCAAATTGATAAATGATAAACCGTTTTTCTTGAACTTTTTGCACAACAATATTTCAAATTTATGATTTCAGTCTAACAACTATTTAGTCAACATGGTTTAATTTATGTCAATGATGACAGGGTATTGATAATTTCGATTCCAAATATCTCGAGAACCATTACTCATAACGGTTTTTACCAAGAGACCTTTTTTTATGTAAAAAACACCGTAAATATATATTTTTTACTCAGTAGTTTTATACAGGAACGGACAAAAAGTTGTTACTCTTCAAACCAGTTAAAAAATATGTAGGTGGCGCCCTCTACAAGTAGGAATCATATTGACATCAAAATCAAATTTCTCATGTCAAGCAACTCCCAGACATCAATTTTATCCAAATATTGACTTTACTTCAGTAATTATTTGGAAAAAATCGAAATAAAAATAAAACCTCTATACCCTGTATTTTAGGACATACATTTATACAAACTTTTTTACTTATTTTTATCTGTAGAATATACTGCCGAAGTTTCCGGAATACAGCTGACAGCTGGGGGCCACTCTGTATATTTCAATGACATGTCAATATGCGGTTTTCACACTGTAATGTCTAGTATACAGGGTGAGCCTTAAATAAATGCAAATATTTTTAGGGTTAGGAGATCTCGATAAAAGAACCATATTTTCTCTTTGCCGTTTTTCAAATAAGTTCAAAATAACTGAGATATTTTTCTTTGAAAATTTCAAAAAATTGATATTTCGGTAAAATTTTGAGAACTACTGAGCCTTTTCTGGGTTTTCTTTCTTGTAAATTTAATCTACTACCTATGTTGCCAAATGATGACGATATGTTTTTTAACTAAAAATTGCCGAAATTTTTTTTATCGCAATAAAAAACATTATACATCTGTTTCTGGGGTCGAAATATACTACCCTTAAAAATGTTTTCACTTATTTAGGACTCACCCCGTATAACCGATTTGCGTGACGTAAATTTTGGAAAATGGCGGAGTTCCCTAATTTATTTATAAAATAATATTCTGTATATATTTTTCCTGAATTTTTTCGATGTTTTAATAGATATTCTGCTATTCGAGGCGGAGACCAATGCAACAAATTAGAAATCATTAAAATCAATCCCGCCGCTCTAGAGTTATAAATTGTGTAACTAAGTGGATTTTGTTTTATTTATTTAGATTTAGAAAAAAAAACACCTTGTCCACATGAACTATTATCTAAGATACGCCACTGATTATAGTTAACATTATTTCTCGATAGAATCTCTTCAAATATTTTTTAACAAGCTTCGTCGAACGAACCGCCAATAGATCTGCGCTATTCTATAGTTCAGGAACATGTTTGTAACCGGAGCCATCAAAATAACTCTTTAACAATATCTAGACTGCTTTCAGATTATACCGCGATTCGACGGGAAATGATCATTTCTGTTTTTCGAACGAGAAGGTATTTATTATAGCGGCGTCACGCCATATATGTGGTTTCGAAAAAAAAAATCTAACGATATTTGAACGAGAAATCTATATAGGAATGGGTGCAGAGTCAGGACCGGCTCCAGGGCACTTACACCTACATTTTTACTCATTACCAAAATCCTATACTAAGGGTTGGCAAAGATTAGTCTTAAGTCGAGACTTCCGTCTGTAAGAAGAGTACAATGCGTTTATCGCGTTTATAATGTACTGAACAAAGAGAGAACAGAAACACGTTGCCAAACGTATGAAATAAACCGAGAAACTGTACACATTGCTAAGAGACGTGGAAGGGGATAAAGCAGATTTGTCGCAGTTGACCGGTCGACCCACTCAGTACCTCAAGGGTACTTATGAGACAGGAAATTGTAGAGAGAAACAAGCCCTATAACATAGGATATAACATTTTAATGAACATTGCTTTTCATAAAATCAATAAAATGAAAAATATACGAAATAATATACATTTACTGATTTCTTTCGAAAATCGACAACTATGAAACTATGAACCCTTCCCGGACACAAACGGTACATTGTGAGACAGGAAATTGTAGAGAGAAACAAGCCCTATAAAATAGGATACAGCATTTTAATGAACAGTGCTTTCCATAAAATCAATAAAATGAAAAATATACGAAATAGTATACATTTACTGATTTCTTTCGAAAATCGACAACTACAACTATGAACCCTTCCCGGACACAAACGGTACATTGTGAGACAGAAAATTGTAGAGAGGAACAAGCCCTATAACATAGGATACAACATTTTAATGAACAGTGCTTTCCATAAAATCAATAAAATGAAAAATATACGAAATAATATACATGTACTAATTTCTTTCGAAAATCGACAACTAGGAATCTATGAACCTTTCCAGGACACAAACGGTACATTGTGAGACAGGAAATTGTGGAGAGAAACAAGCCCTATAACATAGGATACAACATTTTAATGAACAGTGCTTTCCATAAAATGAAAAATATACGAAATAATATACATGTACTGATTTCTTTCGAAAATCGACAACTATGAAACTATGATCCCTTCCCCGACACAAACGGTACATTGTGAGACAGTAGAGAGAAACCTTATAACATAGGATACAACATTTTAATGAACAGTGCTTTCCATAAAATGAATAAAATGAAAAATATACGAAAAAAAAGAAGGAAGGCTTTAACACAAAGAAAGTATGAGAGGAAGGTTTGGTACACAGTAATACAGGATACAGGGGTATATCGCAATGGGTCCAAGGCCAAATGAGGGATCAAACAGGATGACATACCCCTGCAACTTAACTTAACCTAAACTTCTAGTAGTTTATCAGGACCATGAAAAGTCTTATCTAGTACCTAGTTGGAGTTTTAACGGTATGTAAACGAATTTAGACACTTTTAGTCTTTTTATATAGGACTGGATATAAATATAAAACAATAATAGAATCAAAAAGGCTGGCAAGATTTACTTTGTACTAGGCTATAAAATGACTGAAGCCTGTCCTGTACTAAATAAAAAAACATAATTATAGGTTATTCTCGAAAGTCGAGTATCTGTAATGGTTCGTCTGTTATATAAGTGGATATTTTATTACAAAAATATTTTAATGCGTTTCTATATACACATGATCATTAAAATTATGATAGTATTATGTGGATCTGGTTCATTCATTTAATTTTTATCGATATATAATTGTTTCTATACATATATAATGTTTCTATTACATATTAATTTACCAGTGAATCATTTTAATGACACCTGACTAATAAAAAAATATATTTTTTATAACACACTGGTCTGTAAAAAATATTTTTTTACCGATGGGGATTTTCACAGAGATTTACAAAAATGGGGATCTTCCTGTTGTAAGGAAGACAGGGCATTTCCCATCCTCTTCTGAGAACAAGTATTCTGCCTCCGAGGAGTGGACATCTAGTACGAGCCCTAACAACTATATGTTGGGACAAAGTCATATTTTGGAATTATTGCCATGGTTTTTCAAAACGACTGGAAAATATATGTTTAATTTTTTAAATATAAACAGCCATATATCCTAAACAACTTGACAATATTTTTATGAATTTGTAAATCAATCCATATTTACAGTAGCGGATTTTGTTCATAAAAGGACAAATTTACTGACAACTAAATGTTGGGACAAGTATTTTTAAATAATTAATATCATCATAGGCGGCTTTGCTATAAACGTCACAAATGTCGCAAACTGTTTACTTCAGCATTGACAGCTTGTAAAAAATGAAAAAAAAAATGTAAACATAAAGGACAAAAAAATTATCAAACAAATTTATAACTAATTTTTGAAAGAATCCTCGAAAGTTTGCACACAACATGAAAATGAAAGTCCTGGGTTTTTAGTTGTAAAAAAACAATATAAATGTCCTAGTTTCAAGTTATAACAAATCAAACGAATTTAAGTCATCAAATATAAAGCAATTAAGTAAACAACATTAGTACTTTTTAATATACTTTGTATTTTCATATTCACATAAATAACTAACCAATCTCTGTCAATCAAATAGTTCAAGTACTGAAATAGGAATGTAACGGATCCAAATCTCTCATTTTTGACACAAATCTTCTTAAACTTAGTTTATTTTTAGCTGGACAGTCCTTACTTTTTTTACAAGTTTTATTTTTGTATTTTAAAGAAGACTTCTTTGGTCTTGCGGGTATTTGCATGTTGATCTTATTCAAAACGTCTGTATGGTTGGTGTACCAGTATTTCCCTTGAATTTCTCTGGCGATTTCTATAGCATCACCTAAAAAAATACCAAAAATATAGTAACAATACCAACTGGTAATAAGCAGTGTTGCCAACTTTTTGCTACTCGTCTTACTAACTCAAAAATTCTACTAGAATCCAATTAAATCTCGGAAATTTTTCAGGAAACTCATTCTTATCAAATAAAAAAATAGAAAAACATAGTTAATACGTTCTCGCAGTGTTTCCAACAACGACGAATGATCCTCCACCAAGACAGTGCAAGTTCCCACACAGCCCGAAAAACAATTGAGTTTTTAAAGCAAGATAACATCGAATTGTTGGACCATCCTCCATACAGTCCTGACTTTAGTCCTAGTGACTCGTTTACTTTTCCAAAAATTAAGAATGAACTTCGTGGTTAAAAGTTCTAGTCTCTAGTAGATGCAGTCAATGCCTTTAATAACGCCATTTTGAAGGTACCAATAAGTGAGTGAAATAACTGCTTTCAGAATTGGTTCCAACGGATGCAAAAATGTATTTCTTTTCGTGGAGAATACTTCGAAAAATAATAGTGCTTAAAAGTTATCCACCGTTTTATTCTACCTCTATCTGCAATAGTTATTTTTTATACAAGACGATAAAATGGTATAAAACGATAATATACAGGGTGTCCCAGAAATGAGTGCAGATTTTTTAACTGGTAGTATAGTTCAACCCCAGAAACACGCCTATGAGGTTTTTTTTGCGAAAAAAAAATGTTGAAAATTTTATATTTTTCTTGACATTTTCCGGAAAATGTTGAAAAACTTTTGAGTGCCACTGTTCACTCCCCGGGAAATTCGTTTACCGGGCATAGAGAGTGTCGGAGAGAATGCAACGTTGCCACCTCCTACCATACCCACATTCTGCATGTTTATCTATAAATTCAATTATTTTAAGTTGCTACAAAAAAATACGAAAATTAATTTTATTCATATTAGTGTAGATTGCTCTACTAATTGTAGAGAAACGCGCAATATTTTAAATACTTTTTACAGTGGAGTAAACTGAAAAAATAAATCTTAACAATTAGCTTCTTTTTTCGCCATATTAGGAAATATTTTCAATCGTTTCAATAAACAATTATAACCTCTAATGTTTAGTTAGAGCTTACCCTTTTAATGAAAGTGTTTTTTATCCAGCACATACAGGGTGTCCCAGAAATAAGTGCAAATATTTAATATTTTAACTGGTAGTATAGTTCAACCCCAGAAACACGCCTATAAGGTTTTTTTTGCGAAAAAAAAATGTTGAAAATTTAAAATTTTTCTTGACATTTTCCGGGAAAAAACTTTTTAGTGCCTCGCAGTGTTGTAACCTCCTATGTTATCCACATTCTACATAGTTCTACATTTATAAATTTATAGAAAAATTTCTACTCAAAAATTAAGAATGTTAAATTGTTATCAGTGCTCATTATTAATAATTATTATAGAAAAAAAACACATTAATTATTTTTAGTACCTACTTACCCTTTCAATGAAAACTTAACAAAAACCACCGAAAATTAACTAAAACATTACGTTTATGACGTTTACGAAAATGATTCATCATATTATTCACAACCAGGTCACAAAAAAGAAATTCCTAAAATGTTTATCGTAATTTAGAATTCAATATTTGTTTTCTTTAATTTAGAATTCAATATTTGTTTTCTTTCATGTTTCTCTGTTTTATTTGAACCACTGATTTACAAAACACCTTGAAAAACGCACATTACTTTGAATACCGTCTCTTATCGCCACTTTACGAACTACTTTCAATTTAAGACATGTTTCACTCAACAATTTTAAATACGTATTTTGTTTTTTTCGCTATTTTTGCGATGTATTTTGACAGCCCAAACGTCGCGCGTCGGCCAAGAGTGCCACGTGTGAACTGGTCCTTTGAGCCGCGCCGTCGTGGCAGGCTTGCGTCAGACGACGATGTTAAGCAACGTTGCTGTAGTTACAACAATTTCAAATTCAAGACATTCGAAGCAATCAAATTTGTATTAAATTTTAAAAATAAAACAGAGAAACATGAAAGGAAACAAACAAAACGAAAATGAATTGATTATTCGTCGGGCTGTTTTCGATATATTGAATTCTGAATTACGATAAACATTTTAGAAATTTCTTTTTTGTGACCTTATCAATAATCAATTCATTTGTGTTTTGTTTGTTTCCTTTCATGTTTTTCTGTTTTATTTTTAAAATTTAATAAGAATTTGATTGCTTCGAGTGTCTTGAATTTGAAATTGTTGAAACTACGGCAACCTCGCATGACGCAAGCTCGACACGCCGGCGCGACAAAGAAGCAGTGAGCAGTTACCAACCAGTGATGCGTGGCTGTCTTGGCCGACGGATGGTTGGGCTGTTGACGGAATTGTCGAAATACATCGAAAAAATAGCGAAAAAGCAAAATACGTATTTAAAATTGTTGAGTGAAACATGTATTTTCTTAGATTGAAAGTAGTTCGTAAAGTGGCGGTAAGAGACAATAATTCTCAACATTTATTCATTCAGAAAGATATTCAAAGTAATGTGTAATGTGTGCTTTTCAAGGTGTTTTGTAAATCAGTGGTTCAAATTGTGATGAAGCCTATACGAAAATAATGTGTTAAGTTAAAAATGGGGACTGTTATTTTAGCAGTTTTTATAATAGCACGTACAAGTAAAGCAGCAATGAAGTGTATTTTAGTTAAGTGTGTATCGAAAAAGAGAACTGTCGCAGTTACATCGATCTGTCATAAGTATCTTTTTTAATGTTGGGTAAGTTTTTTTTAATTTAACTTTTAAACATTTAACTTTTAATTTATTTTATGTAATAATATCACAATCTTAAAAATGTAATGCATCTCTGCAAACTCCTCAGGTGTTGTGATTTTATGACTTACTTGTAAACATATACTTTCTTGTCCATATGGCAACACAGTGCGTCGAATTAACTGAAATCCGGGCTTGATCCGGGTAATTGGATGTAGTTGGGAATACCTGCCGGCGGTTCTCAAAATGTTGCGATTATTTTTTTAAATTTTCAAAGTTAAATAACTCAGTTATTTTCAATTTATTTTAAAAATGGTAAAGAGAAAATATGTTTATTTTGACCAGATCTACCACCTCTTAAAATATCTGCACTCATTTCTGGGACACCCTGTATAGTATATATAGTAGTCGTATATAAATCAATATTTTTTTCCATAGCGAGTTACGTTTTAAAACATATTCAGAAATTATTATTTCAAGGAATTTATTACCAGTAGAAAAAATATTGTGCTGGGTTGGCGTTGGTTTCTATGTAATTTGACAAATAAATAAAGCTGTCTCTTTAGTTGTCAGTTTTGAGTCAATATGTTTTAATTCTCTTTCGTGTCGATTGATGATTGAATTGGAGCCAGAAATGGCTCAAAACGAAATAAGTAAATTACCAACAGATATACAGCCTGTAGCCAAACTACTTCCATTTAAATCCCGATTAACTTATGAAAAGAAATACAAAATTTTTCAAAAATGGAAGCAATTAAAAAACGTGCGAGAAGAAATAAAGTGTTTAACCTATCTTCGCTGTTAAAGTATTATTTAATCTACCCTTGCGGATAAAGTACTAATTTATCTACTATTTTTGATAGATATAAGGCAAATTTTAACAGTTGCTATGGAAAAAAATATAAAAGTCATCCCTCGTATGAAGCAGAAAAAAATCTGATTATCCATTCAACATGATTACCAATCATCTGCCTTTACTATGACATGTTATTACCCCCCTGTAGCTAGCCTCAAGGGAAATGACCTAGATCACGAACATCAACTAAAAATTACCGGCGACTATAAAAAACCTGTGCCTTAATTATTTTTGCTGCCCATCCTAGTGTGACCTATATCGAAAAATGCCTAGCACAGGGTGTGGAATTACGTGCTTTTCAAGTATAAAAGTGTGTTATTTTATTTGCACTGTGTTAGAAGCGACATTTTTGTTGAATTTATGTATTCTAATACACGTACATAACAAGAATTTCCGTAATGCAGGTTATTTGGAGGTTGTAGCAGAAAAATGTTCAGATTATAAAAATCAGAAGAAATTATAAAATAGATTTTTATATTGTGATCACAGATTGTAATGATTACAATTTAATCACTCGACAAAAAGATGGGCATATAATTTCATTTCAGCTTCTCGTGATTTAAGCAGTTATAACGCCAAAATTAGTGGTAGTAAAGTAATTTTCAATTAAAGAAAATAGTTTTTTTCTCTTTCGTAAAATTTTAACTCTTTCCACTAATTATAAAACTCAAATTTTTGGCCTTTGATTAATATATGCAAGTATTTTAACTGTTAGTACAGGGTGTATAAAGGTGCCCGGAGGCTCTCGTCTACCAATCTCAAGGTAGTGCGTTCGAATCCCACACCCGGCATTTCATCAGCCGACTATTTTTATTAAAATAAAAATAGTTAAGGTACCTAGGTCGACTCAGCCTTAAATGAGTACTTGGGATTCACAATCCTGAGGGTGTTAATTAACCTCCTTGTATACCGAACGGCTCTAGTATGGCAAGCTGTACCTTGCTACTTCCAAGGCGTTATACGGGAGCTATTATTATAGTACAGGGTGTTCCAGAAATAAGTGCAAGTATTTTAAGGACTGGTAGATCTCGATAAAAGAAACATATTTTCTCTTTATTGTTTTTCAAATAAGTCCAAAATTACGGAGTTATTTTACTTAAATTTAAAAAAAAAATATTTTTTGCTAAAATTTTGAAAACCTCTGAATCTTTTCTGGATATTTCCTTCTTGTAAATTTAATCTAATGCCTATGTTGCCATATTATCAAGAAATTATGCTTTTTAACTAAAAACTAAAAAAAATTCCAAAAAATTTTTCAAAAAATTTCGAATTTTTAATATTTTTTTTGCGAAAAAACCTCATAGGCGTGTTCTGGGGTATGAACTATACTATACACTAAAATACTTGCACTTATTTCTGGGACACCCTGTATAGTTTAACCCCAGAAACACGCCTATGAGGTTTCTTTCGCGAAAAAAAAAATATTGAAAATTCGAAATTTTTTGAAAAAATTTTTGGAGTTTTTTTAGTTTTTAGTTAAAAAACATAATTTCTTGATAATATGGCAACATAGGCATTCGATTAAATTTTTTCGAAAAAAAAATGTTGAAGATTTTATTTTTTTTTTGTACATTTTCCTGAAATTTTTGAAAACCTTTTTGAGTGCCACTGTTCACTCTCCGGAAATTCGTTTACAGTCCATAGAGAAAATCTCGGAGAGAGTGCAATGTTGCCACTTCCTCCCATTACCCACATTCTGCATGTTTATTTATAAATTCACAGTAAGTTTCAGTTTCTACAGAAAAATACGAAAACTAATTTTGAGGAAAATGCGCAATGTTTTAAATACTTTTAACAGTTGAGTAAGCTGAAAAAATAAATCTTAACAATTAGTATTAGAGCTTCTTTCTCCGCCATATTAGGAAATTTTTTCAATCGTTTCAATCAACCAATATAACCTTCAAATATTAAGTTAGAGCTTACCCTTTTGATGAAAATTTATGAGTATTTTTATCCAACCATTACACATACACTGGAAATATCTGCTAAACTGAACACAAATCTATCACTTGCAAAATATTATTTAACATGTTTTTTGAATGTGGTAGACAATGATTCAGTATTGAAAATAAAATGTTTTCGGACTTCCATTGTCTTTATTATTTTTATTTTAAGACTGGTAAAATGGAAAAAAAGAAAGCTTTGCAATCATATCGATCTGCTATCAGGATATCCTTTTTTAATGTTTGGTAAGTTTTTTTTCTTTTAATTTATTTTGTGGAATGTGGGAAGTGATCCTACTGGCGATTTGTTTCAAAGTTATCATAAATTTCAAAGTTAAATAACTCGGTTATTTTCAATTTATTTTAAAAATGGCAAAAAGAAAATATGTTTCTTTTGACCAGATCTACCACCCTTAAAAATACTTGTACTTATATCTGGGACACCCTGTATAATATACTGGCTCTGGACTAAGTTAGTATTCCGATGATGCCTGGACATATACCAACGAATAACAAAAAGGCCTCAGATTGACAAACATCATCCAAAAAGGTGACATAAAATACAATTTGTCTGTTAATCAAAATGACAGAAACAACTGTCACTGTTAGGGGTCCTCTCGTTGGGCACACTATTATACTAATCGTATTCATTATAATTTTTGCATTGTTAAACAATACTTTGTAGCCTGTATCCCACGAATGCTGACAAAAAAGCTGTTCGTTGCTATTCACAAATGGTACTATTTTTAAGTATTTTTTAGTATATCTATTATTAAATGTACCTGTGGGTTCAGTAGGATATTCCTTATTCGAAAAACAAAACGGTTCTTCATAGAGAAGGAAAATAATTGTCTTGGTTAGCTCATGATGGAACGTGGTATTGTGCACTAGAGAGTAGTTCATGTAGTCGATGTAAGCATTCCATCTTGGATACAGATAATCTTCCGCCACACCTGAAAGTTGTTAGAATAAAGTAGTATATAAACATATCAAATAATCTTTATTTTTCTCTTAATATTACCTGACCATTGTTTAACAGCATAATCCATAATTTCACCAAAAGGTCCCCATAAAGTTATTTGATTTCTGGCATTGTATTCAAATAATTTTTCTTCCTAAAAGAAATAGGAAAAGGTTTAATTTTCTTTTATTTATATTTTTCATCAAAACATACTTGGCTGCCATTAGCACACTTTTTAGCAGCGTCTATCCATTTGCCCAATAGGAAAGCTTCGTTAGTTCCAAGAATATTTTCTAAATCCACAAAAATCTCCTTAAAAATGGTAGCTAATTGTCTAAAATTTTAATATGGATTTATTTCAGTTAACTTATTTTTTAATACCTATCAAATACCGGGTTCGTCTCAAAAGTGGCTCGCCCCTATAACTTTTTTATGTTTTCAGTTCAAAAAGCGAGATTTGATATGTTAGTATATGACATAAATTAGGATTGATTGACGTTATTCAATTGTTTTCGGTCACTTCCTGTTTTACGGGTATTATCACGAGTTATTCGATAGACAAGAACAATCTGAATAGAATGACATATCATATGTCAACTTTTGCCATTTTTGCATATGGTTTATTTGAAATTATAAGTTGCGGTTTGTAATGAAAATTTGACTCTAAATACCATGTGTGTGGTATCAAATTATTCGTAAAAAAATGCCTTTTCGAAATATGCTAATGAGCCACCCTCGTTCCATTTGAAAAAATTGAGATATGATTAAAAATACGATTTGAGCATTTTCTAACTGGCCAGGACACATTAAAAACATTAGACGATCAAATCTATTTTTCCAGGGCTCCTTGATTAAGAACTAGTATTTTTAACATAACCATGGCACTCTAGATTGCATTTTAAAATATGATTTTTTATTAAGCGAGAATGTCAAAAGTTGACACATTATATGTCATTCTATTCAGAATGCCATTTTCTATCGAATAAAGTAAAAAAATACCGAGGGTGCCATTTAAAAATGAAAAGTTGTAGTCATTTCTGGTAAAACAGGAAGTGACCAAAAACCAGTGAATACGTCAATCAATCCCAATTTATGTCATATATTAACATACCAAACCTCGTTTTTTTAAATGACAAAATAAAAAAGTTATAGGGGTGAGCCACTTTTGAGACGCACCCGATATATTGCAAATATGTAATTTTTATTGTTATGAAAGATTGGAGAAGATCTATCAGTTGAAAGACCACAAATAATATAAATTTAAAAACATTATTTAATTTTTATTTAATTTGGTTGGTATTAAGAATCGGAGTGTGCTAAATATATTGGGAGAACGTAGCAATTCTACGTTAGTCTGGATACTTGAGCACAAGTATTACCATAGCAATAAAAAAGTAGATGAAATGGACAAACAAGTCTCATTCATAGGCCTAAAACTCCTCTGTGTCGCTGCAAAAGCAATTACATAAAAGCAACAGAAAGTGGATGGTCAGCAAATCTCTAGAATGGCGAAAAAAATAATTTTCATCATGCCACAAGACAAATCAATTCATAAATTGCTTTCTGTTTCTTCTCTAGAGATTTGCTGACCAGAACACTACCCAAAATTTACGGCTGATAATCTAAGGCAGAAGAACTGGCAAAACTGTAGTGCTTTTACTAACAGTACATTGTAAGCCCAATTGACATTTAAAGCTGATGAGATTGACAGTTAAACCATGTGCAGATTCTTTAACTCACAAGAAGAAACTACAGAATATATTCTATATCAGTGCAAATTATGGTTCTCTGTACTAGGGGATGATAAGCTATAGACAAAGAGCTACATGGAAGTTTTATTTTTCCGATATTTTTTTCCTAAAAGGATACCACTGGAGAATATAAGCTAGAAAACAGAAGAGGACTACAATAGATCTGATAGACCAATAAACAACACAAAAAAAACAGTCTAATCATAAATGTGACCAGTACTTACTGAAACTCAGTAACGTTCTTGTTTTGGAAGGCTAATATTAATTTATTGTAATATATGTCTCCGTTAGCTTGAAGTACTTGTCTGGTTAGATCTACCAGGTCGTGCAAATAGCCGGGACTGTCTTTGTAATTGTCTGCACTTTGGAGGAAGTAGTCCCATGCATCGAAGAGATCCTTGTACTTGTACCAAGCCTAATAAATAAAAATTGACTATATTAGTCTTATTGTTACTTATATGCAGTGTTGCAAAAGTTTGTTAAGGATATTACATATTAAAAACTATGCATTATCGTAGATTATAAGAGAAAATCATTCAAAGAATGTTACAAAAATTGTCTAAATGAGCCAAGTTTGGTTTTCATGTAGGGACCTAATTTGTCTTACCCAAGTTGTGATGTCTAAGCTCGGTGATCTAGTGATCGCAAAGTGTCCTCTTATCCTCTCAGTACCAGAAAAATTGTAAATTGTTACCTGAAAAAAAAACCCAGTATGAAGACATCTAAAGTTGTATAAACTTGAAACTAAAAGAACTTCGGACGTCCATTGTATTTATTTAGTTTGGGACAGTAATTAAATTCTCAACAAATTATCTCTGTATATATAGTAAAACCGTACGATCGAAAAAAAAAACGGTGTCCAGTTGGCTGGAAAATGACGATCAATGACATTTCCCATATAAATCTATATAAGTGACTCACTATTAATCACGATCCTGCTCAAACCACTCAACGTAAGAAGCTAAATTTTGGCATACAGGTTGATTCTAGGGTGTAGAGAGGTTCGATAAGAAGGGATTTTTCGAAATTCCAGTTCCAAGGGGGTGAAACCACCCCTCAAATGTTACAATATTTTTTATTTAAAAAACGGTCAAGTTTCCGAAAAAACGCTTAAACACGTATATTTTATTTTGTTTTTTTTTACATATTTTAAGATTTTTAAAAATGTATACAGGGTGTTTCGATAAATCTGGTCATTAATCACGATCCTGCTTAAAGCGCTTGACGTAAAAAGCTGATTTTTGGAAAACGGATTGACTTTAGGTTGTAGAGGTTCGATAAGAAGGGATTTTTCGAAACTCGAATTCTAAGGGGGTGAAACCACCCCTCAAATATTAGAATATTTTTTATTTAAAAACCGGTGAGTTTTTCGGAAAAACTCTTAAACACTTAAATATTTTATTCTGTTGTTTGACATATTTTAAGATTTTTTAAAAATTTATACAGGGTGTTCCATAAAATATGACCATTGAGTAATTACGATTCTGCTTAAACTGTTTGACGTTTAAAGCTGATTTTTGGCAAACGGATTGACTGTGGGGTGTAGAGGTTCGAGAAACCCTCGAATCTCAAATTCCAAGAGGGTGAAAACGCCCCTCAAATATTACAATATTTGTTATTTAAAAAACGGTTAGTCTTTCGGGAAAACGCTTGGACACGCATAATTTATTTTGTTTTTTACATATTTTGATTTTTTTTAAAAAATTATACAGGGTGTTCCAAAAAGTTAGGTAATTGATTCACTACGATTCTTTTTAAACTGCTTGACGTAAAAAGCTTATTTTTGGCAAACGGATTTTTCGAAAGTCAAATTCCAACGAGATGAAACTACCCCTCAAATATTACCAAGTTATATAATAATATCGCCATATTGTTTTTCCCCATGCTGACATAAATGTGAGAAAATTTTATCCAGTTTGTATGTTAATGGAAATTCTTGCTTTGCCTTATCATCACCATTACAAATGATTAATTCGACGCGAACAAAGCCGCGAGTACACGCTAGTTTACATATAAAATGACAGCGATCTTCATTTCATAGCCATCGCTGACGCCGTTTTTTTTTCGATCAAACAGTATTATTTTTTATTGTACCTTGAGTATTTCCCATGCATTTTCAACGTTATTGTCCTGTCTGCCGTATCTTCTTCTGGAATAATCCCTAAACCATTCACTTAAATTTGCCGGTTCAGATCTCCAGGCGGTCTCACTCATCAGATCGTAAATAACGTAGTTTTGATTTATACCCTCCATGGTCAATCCCGTTCCAATCATTGTCGAATTTTCCGAGTTTCTTGTCTTTATTACTTCCTGAAATAAAACGATATTGCTTTAGGGGTGGAATTCTATAGGAAATTATTTTTATTTATCCATATACCGTGCTGGCAACTGTTACTTTTGGGTCGGTATTTACATGTGTGGAAGTAAATCGCATAGGGATCTTATTAAGTCGGAGTTAGAGAAATGCGACTGTGTGCTGTTGCGTTGTTGCCGGTACGCCTTTCCCTATCAAGTAAAGTAAAATCACGATCGCAAACCGTTTATTTTTAAGTCTTTTTTTCGAAAAGGTAACTAGATAAAAATCATTAGATATGGTCTGAGCATCTTAAATGGAATTGGGATATCGTTAGAAAACGTCAGTAATCGAGATAATTTAAAAACTCAACTCTTTTACACATAACACGCCATAACTTAAGAACCACTTTAGATATTGAAGCTTTTTGTTTTGAAGATCGGATCATTTATCATATGTTTACATAAGAAAAATTCGATAAGGTTGTTTTTTTCCATTCTAAAATTTAAACAGCCCATCCATTTACTTTTAGTGCATAACAGTTTTCAGCAATCGTGTAACTTTTTATTTATAAAGATTTTTGCAGAAGAAAGTTTTTGAAAAACTACAATCAATTATTTCTAATAGATTTCGAGATATCGATTTTTGAATTCAGAGTTTTAATAGCGCGACCACTGTCGAACACCAACTCAATTCCACTTATTTTTACCAAAAATGCAAATGTTTCTAACTTGCACTTAAAAATTTTCAAGCTATAGGGAAAATTACAACGACTCGTTAATAAATAAACAAATAAAGTATTATGAGACGTAATTAAATCGTGAAGCTGAACGCATGATGTACACCCTTTCCTAGAACTTTAAGTACTGCATGACAACTGACAGGTGTACTGATTGGGTCAAGCGGTCGACTGCGACAAATCTGCTATATCCCCTTCCACGTCTCTTAGCAATGTGCACAGTTTCTCGGTTTATTTCATACGTTTGGCAACGGATATTACGTTGTTACTGTTCCATCTTTGTTCAGTACATTATAAACGCTTTGTACACTTCTTATATAAGAAAATCTCGACCCAAGACTAACCTTTGCCAGCCCTTAGTAGAATAATATAGAGTATTAATTGGAAATATTAAATTGCTATACACAGATTGTCTCAAATTTGACGCATTTTTGCAATCTAGGATAAAACAAATGTTTTTCCTATATTAATAACTGCCTTGAAAAATAAAACGAATTAGCAACAGTCCATTTTAAAGATGGATCATAATGATGAGCAAATACAAGACCGAGACTCCCTTGATCTTGGTCTTGCAGTTAATAAGTAGCCTTGGTCTTTTTTTTTAATAAATTTTTGTTCGATTTTCTTCGAACTTTTTCTATCTAATATAAGTTGTATGCATCTTCCGATTTCTGCCTGTAAGATGCTGGGGTAGGCTGTCCAGCCGAAATACTCCTATTGTTTAGTTAAATATAAAGTTACAAACTAAAGATTGAGGTTTCTCTAAAAACTTCTATAAACTCAGGCTGAAACACCCTGTATTTGTATGAGATATTATTTTTTTTACCGTATTGATGATATCAGCTGAACCATACATTCCAAGCGTACCACCAAAATTGTGTAACATACACCAAATATAGGGCTGTCCAAAATACTGCTCCATTCGATCGTACTGAGGAAATTGTTCTGATTGAAGATCCAATACGATCATCTGACCCTATTTGAAAAAAAATCAAGAATATATTTATTTTAACATTGATTGATTATAAAAAAAGTTTTAAAAATTATCCTCACAACAAGACACACAAGAACACTTGTGTTTTTTTATATTCAAAATGTTTCCCTAATGTCAAAATTATCAAACATAATTATGGTATTTAATATGTCAGTAACGTCAACATTACAGAGAGAGGTAGATATTTGGTTGGAAATAAAAAGAAACAATAAATAAACAGGCAGTGAGGAAATTGTTCTGACTGAAGATCCAACACAATCATCTGACCCTATTTGAAAAAAAATAGAGAAATACATTTATTTTAACATTGATTTATTATAAAAAAATATTATTTATTATCTTAGACACACAAGAACAGTTGTGTTTTTTATCTTCAACATGTTTCCCTAATGTCAAAATTATCAAACATAATATGGTATTTAATGTGTCAGTAACGTCAACATTACAGAGGTAGATATTTGGTTGGAAATAAAAAGAAACAATAAATAAACAGGCAGTAGGACAAATATACACGAACATATACAAAAATTCATCCACAAATTAAAGCTACAGTAATTAAAAGCATTACAAGTAACATTTTTTTAATTATTTTTTATTTACCGTTGGTACACTAGTCAAAAAACTCTCCGCCCTAGTTGTGTCGTTCCAAAACGCGTCGTTATAGAACATCCAACCTTGTAACACCCTGTATATAAGAAAAATAAAATATTATAATGATATCAATAACTTACTTTAGGCACTGAAGTTAACAAGGCTTTGGCTCTGCTTCTCGTCCAGAAGAATAAAGAATGGACGAAAAGCCATCCTTGCATCACCCTGTATATCAGAAAATATGTACATATTTTAATAAAATTGGCACTACTCTAGATAGGTACTAAAATTACTAGATAAAACGGAAAGTATTTAATAATACTAAGTTATACATAATTTGTAGGTATATTAAAAGTGGTTTCTGGATATAAAATTTATTTAAAATTTTATAGTTATTTGTTTATTAGTGACACAAATAAAAGCCAAATAATTAAAAAAAAATTGTAAACCAAAACTTACCAAATTGCTTCGGGATCAGCTTGCCTCATAGCAGAAAATATACTCTTACCAACGTTGGATAAATATGTCAAATCGGTACTGCTTGGTTCCATTTCATTGAAACTGTCACAATTGTACACGTGATCAGTACCATATTCTGCAATTTGCTATAATTTAAGACAAAAAGTTCTTATAATGTACTTTCTCAACAGAGTTTTATTTGATTTTAATTAAAGAAGAATTTTCATCATTTTAATCATGTCTTCTCAAACTTATAGCAAACTGAACTTTGAAAAACACTAAATTATAGTGTGTACGTACTTCTTCAATAAACATTTTTCCAATAGTTTGAAAAATATCTTCTGTGGGATCTATAAAGTACGGACAACAAAACCTATCTGCGAAATTATTCCATTTTGCCATGAGAGTCATGTTGGTGTCTGGAAACAAACTAAAGACTTACTTATTTACACCCTGTATATTACTAATCTGATATTTACTCATGGAATGCTCTAGGTACATGTCCAGCAAATGCAGGAAGGATTGTTATAACGCCAAAGTCTCTAAGTCTGTCCAAGATCTGGTGCTGAAGGTTCAAAGATCTGTCATGCCAGGAATCAGAGAGTGGTCCTCCCCATCCACGGAGATTGCCCATTCTTAACCTAAAATAACCATTGTTTAAAGCTAACAAAGTCCCGGTAGATGACATACCAAGTGTAGTACCGTATGATCGAGAAAAAAACGGCGTCAGCGATGGCTATGAAATGAAGATCGTTGTCATTTTATATGTAAAACTAGCGTATACCCGCGACTTCGTTCGCGTCGAATTAATCCTTTGTAATGGTGATGATAAAGCAAAGCAAACTGGATAAAATTTTCTCACATTTATGTCAGCACGAGAAAAAACAATATGGTGATATTATTATATAACTTGGTAATATTTGAGGGGTAGTTTCATCTCTTTGGAATTTGACTTTCGAAAAATCCGTTTGCCAAAAATAAGCTTTTTACGTCAAGCAGTTTAAGCAGAATCGTGGTTAATCAATTACCCAACTTTTTGGAACACCCTGTATGATTTTTTTAAAAAAAATCAAAATATGTAAAAAAGAAAAATAAATTATGCGTGTCCAAGCGTTTTCCCGAAAGACTAACCGTTTTTTAAATAAGAAATATTGTAATATTTGAGGGTCGTTTTCACCCTCTTGGAATTTGAGATTCGAGAAACCCCTCCTTATCGAACCTCTACACCCCACAGTCAATCCGTTTGTCAAAAATCAGCTTTTAACGTCAAGCAGTTTAAGCAGAATCGTGATTACTCAATGGTCATATTTTATGAAACACCCTGTATACATTTTTAAAAAATCTTAAAATATGTTATGTTTAAGAGTTTTTCCGAAAAACTCACCGGTTTTTAAATAAAAAATAATATTTGAGGGGTGGTTTCCCCCCCTTAGAATGCGAGTTTCGAAAAATCCCTTCTTATCGAACCTCTACACCCTAAAGTCAATCCGTTTTCCAAAAATCAGCTTTTTACGTCAAGCGCTTTAAGCAGGATCGTGATTAATCAATGACCAGATTTTTCAAAACACCCACTACATTTTTAAAAAATCTTAAAATATGTAAAAAAACAAAATAAGATATACGTGTTTAAGCTTTTTTTCAGAAACTTGACCGTTTTTAAATAAAAAATATTGTAATATTTGAGGGATGGTTTCACCCCTTTAGAACAGGAATTTCGAAAAATCCCTTCTTATCGGACCTCTACACCCTAGAATCAACCTGTATGCCAAAATTGGGCTTCTTACGTTGAGTGGTTTGAGCAGGATCGTGATTAATCAGTGAGTCACTTAAGGATTTTATCCTTTTAAGGGTCGTTTAACAAAGTTCAAGAGGTAATATTTTTTTTTATTTTTAATCTTCGTTTCATAGCCATCGCTGACGCCGTCTTTTTTTCGATCATTCTGTACTTACCAAGATAAAAATGCTGGTCCAGAAAAATGTTCGTCAATATCCGTATTTGTCAAATTCAGTTTCTGATAAACCCTCTTCCATATTGCTTCTTGTCCGTTAAATGCCAGTACAAAATTGAACGAATTTAGTACAATCCAATCAATGTGTTTCTCCCACTGTCTCCAGTCCCACCAAACAAAACTGTAGCTTGTAGTACACACATTTTGGTAGTACCGATACCTAAAAAAATGTCGTCATGGTAACCATTTTGAAACCTATTCTATTTTTTTTAATAAAATATTTTTTTCCATAGCAATTGTTAAAATTGTCTTATATCTATCAAAAATAGTAGATAAAATAGTATTTTAACCGCAAGGGTAGATTAAATTATACTTTAACAGCGAGGATTAAAAACTTTATTTCTTCTCGCACGAGTTTTAATTGCTTCCATTTTTGGAGTTATTCGGGATTTAAATGGAAGTAGTTTGGATATGGCGTTTGTCGCCTCAGCCTGAATAACTGTTGGTAATTTACTTATGTCTGGCCATTAATTCAATCAGCAATCGACATGAGAGAGAATTAAAAAAATATTGACTCAAAACTGACAACTAAAGAGACAGCTTTATTTATTTGTCAAATTACATAGAAACCAACGCCAACCCAGCACAATATTGTCAAGGTGTAGGTGGCGCTAAATTGTATTGCTGGTTGCCTACATTGTCGCAACGTGCATTGCTGGTTGCCTACGTGTATTGAGAAACCTAGCGAATTCGCCAAAAAGTGAAACACGTTTTCGTTGAAGCTAAGTGCAAAAGCGAATCGGGCAGCAGTAGAATTTTCCAGTTGCAAGTAGAGATGGGCGGTTATTGGTAAAAAACCGGTTATAGGTTAACCGGAATTATCTTTAAAAAATAATAACTTGACAAAATTAACCGACACAAATTAACCGGTTATTCAAATAACCTAACCTAGCAAAACTAAATATTTAGTTTTCCTATAGGTTTACTTACCTCTACACTACATAGGTCTACTTCAAATTTAGATAATAAACTTAGTTAAATCGCATGATTAAATAGAGATTGTAGCAATGTAAGTATGTATATGTACAAAATGAATTTAAATAAAAATGCTAACCTCACTTTTTTGAGTAGACATGGATATGATATTAAAACTAGTAATTACTTAACGTTCAAATAAACCACACAACCCACAAGTTCTACAATCTACAACCAAGTTATTTTAATCAAATATGGAGAAAAATAGACCACAAGAAATATAGACCAAAAGAAAAATAAGGAGACTGAATGAATAAATAATGAAAGATTATCTTCATTCATTACTTGAACTTCTATGTTGAACTTCAATTTTGTATTCTTAATCTAAGCTTTAAGAGAGACTTCAAACTACAAATAAATATATTTACGGTGAAACGTGGGTGCAACTGAGCGAAACCATGGAAAACTTTTGAAGAACCGTTGAAAATCCATTAAAGTCGGTTAAAATTTAAATATAGAATTTAGAGAATCTATTTGAAGTTAGGTTTGTATCACTTGGCTAGCTGGTGGCTAGTAGTAGTCTATGGCATTAGTACTTTGCTTTATGGCCCTGACCTGTCAGGGCCATTCGGCCGTTGTTTTGATTATTATCATCAGGGTTCGCCTGATGCCTGATTTAATTTTGACATTTGATGTCATATATTTTCGTTTTGGGAGCGGGAGCGGGATCTCCCGTTATGGTCGTAATATCGGGAAGATCCGTGCCGTTCGCTTCTTCGAAATTTACGATTCAAACAGCTAATATTTAATTGTTAGTTGTTTTAAACAAGTACGATTTTTTAAAAAATAACTGGCTATAGGTTATTGAACGTAATGCAAAGTTATTAGGTTAATTGGTGAAAAAAAACTACCTTTAAATAACCGGTTATTTTAGAGGAAAATACCGGTTATTCAAAAAACCGGTTACTTTTGCCCATCTCTAGTAGCAAGTAGAACGCTCTCCGAGAATTTTAGAAGGTTCGAGAAACACACAGTAGAGTATATAAGCCCGCGTAATCGGCAATTGGGACAGTTGAGTTTGAAGTTTGAATATACCGCGTTCTAAATTGCGAATCGGACAATTTGGCGAAGGAAATTTTTACGATGTACTTAAACAGCCGTTAAACGATAGCCTACTAAAATGCCGTTAATAGATATTGTGACGTCGTTCATGTCGGCGAAAAGTAATGCCTGCCTATAAGCATTTTGCAAGAGCACCTGTGGCTCCGTGGCTGAGGCTATCGCTTCGTGAGCGAATGGTCCGTGGTTCAAATCTCACGCCGACCAAGACTGTTTTATATTTTTTTGCTTATAGCGTGATCTTATTGCATTGGTTTCACTCTTTTTGGTTGGATTGGTTTAGTTATTTGGCGGGTTGGTTAGCGTGGTTATTTGGAGGGTGTTAATTCATTGGTTGGTTGGTTATTTGGTGGGGTTGGTTGGTTTTTACTAATTTATATTTGTTTTTTATATTTTTTTTTATCAGTGTTAGTTGCGTTGGTTAAGTTGGTTATTTGGTGGGGTGGATAGCGTTGGTTAGTCCTTATAAAATTCCTATATTTCATAAAGCCGTCAAGTGCGTCACATCAACGACGTCATACCTATTAACGGCATTTTAGTAAGCTACCGTTTAACGGCAGTTTAAGTACAGCCAAATTTTTATAAACAGTTAGTTGTGTGTTTAATTAGTACAAATTGTGAGTAAATAGTAAATTTAGAAGAAAAATAAATTCCTTAAGTATTTTATCGTGAGTTTAAATTAGTGGACCCACGGAATCCGTAACAATATTTTTCTACTCGTAATATAAATTCCTTGATATAATAATTTCTGAATATTTTTTAAAACGTAACTCGCTATGGAAAAACATTTTTTTATACATGACGATAAAATACCATTTCATCGTCTTGTATAAAAAATAACTATTAATGGCTTACCTGTCATTGAATGTTATAGTAACATTAACACTAGTTAAAGTACTAGGTAGACTGAGTTGAGATAGTTCCCATGATATATGAGCATTGCAGAAATATTTCAGGTAGTAGTTGAATCCAGATGCAGCTGCTACTCCGGTGGTGCCAGTAATTTGAATCTTACCATCGTTTGTACTAACTAACTAAAAAAGATAAATGTCTACATATGTAGAAATTTAATTTTAAATATAGATTGTTCTGTACTACAAAGATTCTACTGAAGATTTTTACAATGAATAAAAAAAACCTGTCAACAATTTTTAAGCCAAGGATTACTAAGCCATAGTTTTGAAAATAATAGTTATTTTTTATACAAAACGATAAAATCGTATTTTATCGTCGACCTAAAAGATTAATTCACGAGCGATGAAAGGTCTGTTCCCAGAAGAATCTCTGACTAGTCAGCGCGTTTCTTATTGGTTGAAATGCATAGAAACCTGACTAACAATCAGGTTTCTACGCATTCATTTTAACCAATGAGAAACGTGACAAGAAGAGACCTCAGTGCGGATCTCAGAACTCGAATGGCCAGATGCTACGTCTTCTCTGTGTTACTCTATGGATGTGAGAGCTGGACACTGGATTTACAGACCGAGAAGAGAATAGAAGCCTTCGAAATGTATATACTAGTAGTGGGAACTATCGAATGAATACTATCGAAACATTCGATAGTTGCAATTCATTCGAATAATTTGATAGCTAGTAAGAAAACATTCGTCGAAAACTATTCGAATAAAAATTATCGAATAGATGCGTCATCTGCCTTGAAATATTGTATTCTAGTAATTCGGCAGCAAAAACCATTCATTTATCAAATTCATTTATTCGTTAGGATCGATTTTAATAAAATATAAACTGGACTTTAGTTGTCGTCCGGCGACGTGGCTTTCTTTCCTAGAAACCCGACAGCGGTCGGTGGCAATGCTATGAAAGAAGCCGGCATCTTTGATTTTTTGCGGAGTCAAATAAAGATAAGGACACATTATTTTTTTTATTGAGGTAGTAGTATTGGTAGTATTTACACAGAAAATATATTATGAAGGGCGCTGTTGCCATATATTCGTATTAGTTGGTATTAGCAAAGAATATTATTCTTTAGCATTAGTTAGTTAGGGATAGTATGTCCCTTGTATGTCTATATGTTTTGCATTTTTTTATTAATATTCTGTTGTTACACTGCAATAATACTTTTTATTTTGGATGTAGGAAAATTATTTTTAATGTTTTTAAGCAAAGACTGGTTTAATAAATAATAATAACAGTAATAATTTGTTATACCTATTAACAACAAAATTTACAATCATTTAATAATATAAACATTTTTTTAAGTAGTAGCAAAATATCAACAACAAATAGAAGTCAAAAGTATTTATATTAGATCCTATTTAAAAACAATATAGTCTCTAAATGGCAACGTTGGTTTATTAAATAATAATAATTACAGAACTAATTTGTTATATTAACAAATTTTAAAATCATTAAATATAAACATTTATTAATTTTCTAAGCATGCAGTGTAATGGAAGGAAAATATAAATAAAAATTAGAAATCAAAATTATTTATATTACTTTTTATTACTATTTAAAAATAATATTTACTTTTGCTGGCATTTACTTTAAAAAATAAATGACATATTTCTTCGCCAAAAACTACATGTAAGAGAATTAGCATAAACAAAATACAAACATTGTTAACTTTTTTTTAAATTGGCACGTGTAAAACTTTCAATTTAATTTACTCACACCCCAAAATTTGAGTTCGATAACCATTTACCTAACCACATTACTTAAATATTATTATTAAGTTCAACTAATTCATATTATTAAAACATCTAAAATACAAATATGTATTTTTAAAATTAATTGTAAGTTCATCTCATCTCTCTTAAAAATTGCTACTTCTCAAAATTTCCCATAAAAAAAATGCAATCTAACCTAACCATAATATACCATATAAAATTAAATAATTGAAAGATCGGGCTACGGAAAATCACACAAATTTTCGGAAAAATTTTGACCACTTCGCACACAATCGTCAAATAAAAAAAAACTACTATTTTAGTATTTTAAATATTTTAATAAACGCAAAAATAGCATAGTATTTACAAGGCGCAGTTATAAAAATTTGGAAGAACTAATAATGCACTGACGCACACAAAAATCAAACGAATACTAAATTTCATTTATCAAAAGCATTCGATAGTCGTGGCGCAACGATAACCATTTTGTCGCACGGCGAGGTTGTCACATATGCTTTAGTATACAAATGAATGAATGATTTTATTCGAACAAAAACATTCGATAGTTGAAATCATTCATTCACTAACCATTCGATAGTCTAATTCATTCGATAGTTCCCATCGCTAGTATATACCCAGACGGATGCTGCGAATCTCATGGGTACAAAGGATCACCAACAATGAAGTACACCAGCGCATGCAGAAACAAAAAGAGATACTAAACACCATCAAGGAAAGAAAAATGCAATACCTGGGTCATGTGATGAGAGGTGGTAGATACGAAATACTGCGCCTCATAATAGAGGGCAAAGTGCAAGGGAAAAGATCAGTAGGAAGACGCCAGAACTCATGGCTAAAAGATTTGAGGAGATGGTTTGAACGCTCGTCTGCGGAAATCTTCCGGGCTGCAGTTTCCAGAGCCACAATTGCCATTTGGATCGCCAACCTTCGGCAGGAGAGGGCGTGATAAGAACAAGATAAAACAATATTTTTTTCCATAGCGAGTTACGTTTTAAAAAATATTCAGAAATTATTATTTCAAGAAATTTATTACGAGTAGAAAAAATATTGTGCTGGGTTGGCTTTGGTTTCTATGTAATTTGACAAATAAATAAAGCTGACTCTTTAGTTGTCAGTTTTGAGTCAATATTTTTTAATTCTCTTTCGTGTCGATTGCTGATTGAATTGGAGCCAGAAATGGCTCAAAACGAAATAAATAAATTACCAACAGATATTCAGGCTGAGGCGACAAACGCCATATCCAAACTACTTCCATTTAAATCCCGAATAATTTACGAAAAGGAATACAAAAATTTTCAAAAATGGAAGCAATTAAAAAACGTGCGAGAAAAAATAAAGTTTTTAACCTATCCTCGCTGTATCTGTAAAGTATCATTTAATCGACCCTTGCGGTTAAAGTACTATTTTATCTACTATTTTTGATAGATATAAGGCAATTTTAACAGTTGGTATGGAAAAAAAACTATTATCCTATTATTCTACTTACTTTAAACAAATCTTTACCATCTGTAACCAAGTCAGAATCAATGATCACAGTAAACTCACTGTATCTATCCGGTATAGTCCTTTTAATTAGATTTTCCACAGCTGTTTTTTGTACTCCTGAAGTTGTTTTTGTTTTAATATGACCTAATGTGTGTTCGAATTCTGTAAAAATTTTGTAAAATATAAATAAAATTACGTAATTTGCACGAATAATAATACAATTTTTTTTATTTTATAAAGTGCTTTTCAAATTTGTTATCAAAATATTTTACTGAAGTAGTTAATGAATTTTATTTATTCATTTTTTCTAAAAAAATCACATGAATCTATATTTCTAAATAAAAATTTGAACTCCTATCATTTTAATTTGGTAAATTCATTTGTAAAAATATATTTAAAATATTAAGGAGAAGACAATGTATTTAAACAAATAAGTATACTCAATACTTACTGAATGCTGCTGCTTCATGGTTTATAAAAACTATAAAAACAATTAGTAAAACTGACCAAATGGGTTGCATTATTATGTTTTAGTGTTGTTAATGCAATATTCTTGAACCATTGATAACTCACTGCACGTAAACATAAACATATAAAAGGCTTCTTAAGAATAAATAGCTTCACAATATTCATTAATATTAGGAAAGATTAAAAGGCTTATCTCACTGTAGTTGGAGTGGACCGTAGATTGTCGATTGTTTAAATTATTCCTTGTTAAAAATGTTCAGTTCTCAGTAGCGTAGACACAGGATCTTTTGAGATCGTTTTAAATATAAAAAATTCAAAATAAAAAAGTATGTTTAAATTTATTTGTTATCATTCTAGGCAAAACCAATGGGCTCTTTCACAAAAAATAAAATACCCAATTCAAGGACAAAATCTGAAATAGAAGACAATTTTCAGTATATTTATCCAAAAAAGATAGTTCCATGGCATTGAATAATTTTTTTATAGCCCCTCAAAATTGCTTTAATTTGAAATAATTTTAAAGTGCCAATTGATGACGTATGAAAGATACGCCCAATCACATTGCAGAACTGTGCTCGTGCGCCAGCCAATAACTGGCAACATTGCGATTTGATTTGACCAGCACCACCTCAACTCAAGGCCAATCAACATGATATGGGTAAGGCAAATATGGCAGCGAAGGGAGCGCATAATTAAATTGTTTACCTTTAACCTGAAAAGCAGGTAGTGGTTTCTCGTTCCGATTGCATACCAGAAATAATTAATTATCTCTAGTTTGTTGTGTTTCTGCAACACGTTTGTTTAGTTCTTAGTGTTCAGTGCATGGTGTGATAAGAAAATTGTGATAAAATAACAGTGTAATAAAAATCCAAACCAGACATTCCACATAGGGAACTTCAAACTTTTGTGCTTGTCGTACTCTCTATTATTAATTATTTTAAGGTAAGAACTAGAAGTATTTATCAAGATATTACGCCCAAATGAGTAAAAAGCCTTCGCCGCCAGTCTGCATAGTACTTTATAATGGTTACTTACAATAATCAAAAGATAGGTATTAAAGGGTAGGTATTAACATTTTATTGTAGCATGCCTTTTACATGCTCTGTTCCAAATTGTCACGGGAATAGAGGGGGTCCCAAGGTTTCTGCTTTTATATTCCCCAAAAATGTCGAGCTTCGTAAAAAATGGTTGGCAGCTATTAAAAGAGATAATTTCACTCCTACTGGTAGTTCTCGGGTAAAAAGTGCATTAAATATGCCTCAAAAAGGCCAAAGGCCAAAACCTCTGTTACCCTAGTGAGGATGTAGTTATGGCTACTGCTTACACTTACCTCACTATAAGTAAAATATTGAAAGAAGAATCAAGCTTTTTACATCAAAAAGATCACAGAAAGATATTGACAACATTGACATTTGAAAATATAAATTGCCTGGATGTAAGTCTTTTTTTAGGTCACAATTGCTCACATACGTCAGAATTTATTATTAAATCCATCTTGTTCAGAATATCCAATATTTTATTGAAGAACTATGCAAAAAAAGGAATGACGCCTTTACCACAAAGACAATGCCCTATGTAAAGAGAAAGAGTAAAGAAAACTAAGCTAAGCGTAAGTTTTACTTACGAACCCCAAAAAGATATTCGGTTTTTTTTTCTATATAAAATCTTGAAACACATATTATATTTTTTATTTATCCTCACCTATTATAGTCTAAATTTATTCCCATTTGTGTAATGCTGCAAAACATAGAAAAAATATTCCATATTTTTTGACCCAAGCCAGTGTAGTTTATAATTCCAAGAGCATTTACCAAGGCTTTTACTAAGACAAGTAACTTCCTATACTGTCCATAATAGTATATATTTATCAAACGTTCAGTAAATTCTAAACTATGGTAGGTAAGTGTTTGCAATTGAATATTTAGTTTATATTGCTATTTTCTGTCATATATATCTGGTTATTTCTTTTTCCGATGATTTTGAACACCCTATATATGCTACCTCAAGTTTGAATATTTTAACACTACCTATTTTCTGAGAAAGTAGACCTTTTTATAAAAAGTAACTAACTGATGTTTTCATAAAAGTAATAAAACAAAAAATTCCATACTTATGTGGAGAACTTTAGACTCCCTGTATATTAAAAAATTAGTGAAATATTACGTAATCTAACCCGACATTTGTGTGAAAAATGTTTATTTGGAAATAAAACATGTTTTAAAATACGCGCCAAATAAGCACTTCTATCTCCACCATATTGGAAAAAGTTGAATGGCCTTGTGTGGAGGTGGTGGTGGGTCAGCATGGTGGCCCGACCGCAGCCGTGTTGCCGCTTTTCAACATGCCAGGTGTGACGTATTAAAAATAATGTGCGGATTTTTATTCTGGGCTTTTTTGTTTTTATTTATTTTCTTAAGAACGACTTCAAATTTTTCGAAAGTGAGATAGCAGAAAATTCTAGAATTAATTGCTTTATTCAATTATGCTAATTCCAAAATATAGTGAAAAGCCCATTATATGGCTACTAGCAGACCCGGTCACGCGTTGCTGTGGCTAGGTCAGTGATGTGCAAGTCCCCGGTATATTGAAATTTGGCTAAATATCCAAATTTTTACACCCTAATACCATACCCAAAGGATCAATAAATGGTGTATTGAATTTTGGTAAATAGTAAATCCCATTATGCCCTGTATATCTATATCCAATCATACTCACGTTTTTAATTTAAGATATTCTAATAATTTTTAAAAACAATTTGTTGTTAAATTAAAATTATTGAATTACTAATATTGAAAGGTGAAAATTTGGTGTTGTATATATTTTTTAATTGTATATATTTGTTTTAATTTATAAAAGTATACATTTTTATAATTTTTTAATTTTAAAAAAGTAAAATAAAAATTTTGCCCAAAAAATAAAAAAAAAAAATTGGGGGTGACCACCCCTTATTACTTAGGAGTAAAAATTAAATAACAACCTACTCTCAAACCTACTGAATATACATATAAAATTTAATCAAAATCCGTCAAGTCGTTTCGGAGGAATATGATAACAAAAGCTATTAAAAAACAACTCCTATTAAAAAATAGGGGTTGATGGCAGAAGGGTGAAAATTTAGGGTTGCATGTATTTTTTAATGTCACAAATAAAAATAAAAACATTTGTCCAAAAAATAGAAAAAATAAAATTTGGGGTGGACCACCCTTAACACTTAAGGGTATAAAAATTAAATAACAACCTACTCTCATACCTACTGAATATACACAGATATAACATTTCGTAAGGGTAGACACAAAATTTATTTGGGCCGTTTCAAATGAAGAAACATACATAATTCACCATTTTTTTAAATATAATAATAATAACATTAATATATTAATTAAATGCCCATATTAATAGAAAAATAGTGTCGTACCATTTTATTATTAGAAAAATATATTGAAAGTTATAAAGAACTAACTAAGACTTATGTATATATTATTTTTATTTAATTTATTAAATACAAAAATATTTACTACTAACAAATCTAAACTCCAACAAAGTGTTTGTTACTTAATATATAATAATTATTTTTTAAATTATATTACATAAACCAGAAAAAAAAACTTAAGAATATTAATTCTAATATATTTATTTCAAAGTTTTAGAAACATAAACTGGATCTCCCTCTTGTAATTTGCCTGTTTTGATTACTTTCAGATACAGGCCCATAGGCGGATATTTGAACGGACCTTTACTAACCCTATACCTAAAAATCAGAAAAAAATTATATAGGTAAGTATTTTCTATATTGTATTTTCAGTCTGTCGTTAGCACCCTTGCCTAATATCTAAAATTAATATTTTTTTTTCTTGGAACCTTATATAACTGGTATATAAACTATTTTTTTACTAAATTCCATATTTTATAGAGTATTGTTAAAGTCTCTTAACTGGTGTATATTAATGAGATGATAAACATTATTTAAAAAAATAAACAGTTTTTTATTTACTTTTCTAATGTTTTTAAAGGCTGTCTTTCTTTGTTCATTGTACCATCTTGAGATACCGTTGTCTCGATACATCTCAAGCATTCCAAGCACACCTTGGCTACAACTTCACCAACTTTAATGTATTCCCATTTATCTTCTTCAAAAGCTTCGGGCCCTTGCAAAACATATTTATTATTTATATGTATTTGTCGTTTTCGGTTATTTTTTTATGTTATTTTACCTTCCACTAACAGGTTTGGTCTAAAGTTACGAAACGAGATCTTGTGGTTTTCTGGTAGTTTTTCGTTAACGTCATCAACTGATGCTTGGTTGATTAAATGTAGTGCTGCCAAATCGCTGAAAATTCCCTAAAATTTAATGTTTAATTTTAAAACTAATTTGAATAACGTAATAGACTAAGACCTAGCAACGTTTTCGAGAAAGTATTTTAAGAAAGCTGGCACTTTGATATATCTTTTACTATGCTCTCTGGAACAGCATGCGGCTCATCTGGCTGCCGATACCCGTTGCGTTCACTACTGCGCATCCGAAGAAAATCCTATATTTTTTTTATTTAGTCCGTTAAATTCTAGTATTGAATATAAATCGAATAAGTCTCCATAGCGCAGCGCGTAGAGTTTCCGGCTACGAACCGAGGATTGAATCCTCGAGGATTCAGAGTTCGAGACCTGGTCAGGACAAAAACTTTTTTATTTTATTTTCGTTTATATTCCGATAGTAAAGTATTAAATATTTGTTTTTTTTTGAATCACCGGAATTATTTAATACTTGACTATCAAAATATAAACGAAAATAAAATAAAAAAGTTTTTGCCCTGACCCGATCTCGAACTCTGACTCCTCGCTTGATAGGCGGGACCTCTACGCGCTGAGCTGTGGAGACTCGGTCGGTTTATATTCAATACTAGAATTTAAAGAATTAATAAAAATATAAGATCTTCTTTTAATGCGCAGTAGAGAAGGCAACGTTTACCGGTAGCCAGACGGGTCGCATGCTGTTCCAGAGAGCATAGTAAACAACATATTAAAGAACCAGCTTTCTTAAAATACTTGTTTTCCCGACGTTGCTAGCTCTCTTACTATAAACTCATGTTAATTATGAAGTACAACAGATAATAGAAAAAGGAATTTTTTTTCCTTCCATTAAATTTACACATGAAATTGAGAACAACGACAGATTACCATTTCTAGATGTATTAGTTATTAGAAATACCAATAATTGCCTGGAATTTGATATCTATAGGAAAAATACCACTACACGCAGATATATTCCTAATGAATCATATCATAGTGTTGAACATAAAATGGCTAGTTTAAATTTCTTAGTTCATAGATTACTTAGTTTTCCACTTACCAACGAAAGATATGAAATAGAAAGAGATTACATTAGGAATGTGGCTGAGTGTAGTGGATATTATCCTTCACTAGTTGATAAAATAATTAGAAAACGTAGGTATAGGTTAATGATTTCTGAAAATTCGGCTTTTCAAGTGGAGAAAGATACGTCAAAATATTTTTCAATACCGTTTGATAGAGAGTTATCCCGTGGTCTAAAAGGAATTTTTAAGAATGTCAATTATAAATTTGTGTATAGTGCTAATAATAAATTACAACAATTATTAGGTAATCAAAGGATAAAACACCTCCACTGGAAAGGTCGGGTATTTATGAAATTTCTTGTAAAGATTGTAATCAGAAGTATGTTGGGCAAACTAGAAGATCAATATTAACTAGATTACTAGATTTAAAGAATATTTAGCTCAGATAAGATATGGTAGACAGGATAAATCTTGCGTTGCCGAACATATGGTTGATAAAGAACATTGTATAGATCCTAATAATTTAAAATCAATTAAACAAGTCTCAAATTACAGGCAATTAGATGCATATGAAAGCATCAGAATTAATAAATGTAAAGATAGTATGAACAGAGACAACGGTCCAATTTCCTTCAAGTTCTTTGTTCCTACTACTCTAGTGGCGGAAATCTAACTGTTAGGCTCGATGGGCTCTGACTCGGTTGGCTAGATCTTGCCACGCCCACTCGGTGCCCACTGAGCGAGTATATAAACGGTAAAATTGTAGATTGTAGTTTAGTTTTTAATCATCTGCTGATGATGCTAATATGTTTAGCGAAACGTGCGTCCAGTGTAAAAGTAAAAGTGTTTTGGTGTATTGTGGTGATTTAGTGTTTTATTTTGTTGTGTAACACCAAAGGTTCCAACCCCCAACTGTAATACAGTATGTCCCCGGATTTTCTTGACAAGGGAAGTATAATCACACTGGTCTTACAAATACGTGAAAATATTCGTATGAGAATGTATTAGTCGTCTGCATACCGACAAATAGTTATCAATTTGTGTGTAGTATTCTGCCCATTTTTTGTGCGCTTGCAGAAGGTTCCTAAACGTGCTGCCATCTCCGTATCCTAGCCGCATTCCTTGGTCCTTTTCCAGCAAGAACTTGCTTAACCATGTGGCAACAGCGTCACCACAGTCCGTACACACAAAGTATTCGTTACCAAAAACACTGCCCCAAATGGACACCCTAAAAAAATAGAAACAAATACCTTTTTTTATAACGCAAAGCATGCAAAATGTTCTACGCCAAATGAAGTCTCATGCAAAAGTGACCAGATCTCCAAACTGATACTAAAGCAGTTTCCTCAGCATTTTTTTTTCGAAGGTATTTCCCACTTTACCGGCAAGTTGGTTATAAAATGGTTGTGATATACACCTACACCATTCATGAAAAGCATAATGATATTTTTAGCGTTAAATATTAATATAACTTACACAGTTACATTGTTTCTAACAGCTGGTACGTTGATGAATAAATCTGTCATACCAGGTGCACTGAAAATTACACCATTCTCCGTAGGACGTACTTCGATGAGTACTGCTTTCGGACATTGTCTAGCTGTTCTAACTTCACGATCTTTACTCGTGTAGAGAAGAAAAGATCTAGAAAATTAAGTATACCTTATTTTTACAACACGGTATCAGTAGCCCTCTTGATTATGCCCATTCTAACAAAAAAATAAGATAGAAACAGTTAGTTTATTTTAAAATCGAATGTATTAATATCTAATAATTAATATATTAATAACAGTGAACAAGAAACGACGATTCAGTGAAGTCATGGTAGGCTTTGGAAAAAAGTTGCTTTTGACGTAATAGTATAAACGTCAAATTGATATTAGATCAACATTTTGATAGTCTTAGCAGCGTTTTTTATCGTTTAATTGATTTTTCAAAATGCATTTATTATTTGAAGTAGTTGAAGTTGTTGGGCATTTTGAAAAAGCAATTAAAAGATAAAAAAACGCTGTTAAGACTATCAAAATGTTGATCAAATATCAATTTGACGTTTATACTATTACGTCAAAAGCAACTTTTTTCCAAAGCCTACCATGACTTCACTGAATCGTCGTTTCTTGTTCACTGTTATTAATATATTAATTATTAGATATTAATACATCTGGTATTTATGGTATTCTGGTATATCGTCGATTTTAAAATAAAGTAACTGTTTCTGTATTATTTTTTGATTAGAATGGGCATAATCAAGAGGCTACTGATACCGTGTTGTAAAAATAAGGTAATTAAGGGCTTATTTTTTGGTATTTATTATAATTTTTCTAATATCTTCGGTTTGAATCAAGATATCAAGATGTGGTTTTCGCTGACTTTTTAAGCTTTTACTACTCTCAGCTAAAATTACATATACTATCGTATTTAATTTTTTTGAAAAACGCGGTTTGTTTGTTAAATTCGATATAATACTTTTATTATTATATCCACAATCCACAACTATAGAGATTCCTGATGCAATTAATAATCGGACTCATATTAATAACTACTTTTTACAGTTTTCAAAAAGTAATCCGCCGATAGATGATAATCTGGTACAATATTATAAACATAACCAAAAAGCTGGAATTCATGATACATTTAATGTTTCGACTGTAACTATTGATGACGTAGCGTCAATTCTTTTTAACATTAAATCTTTATCGACAGGATCAGATGAAATAAGTATTGAAATGTTGAGAATGTGTTGTCCGAGAATCATACCCTTTATCACCAACATCATTAATACATGTCTTTTAGAGAATACCTTTCCCGATCAATGGAAAATAGCGCGTATAACTCCGTTGCCAAAAAGTGCTGTTGTTGGTACGTTCAGCGAACTGAGACCAATAAGTATTTTACCCTGCGTATCAAAAATATTGGAACGTACTATGAACAATCAAATATGCAACTTTCTAGATTTGAACAATATTTTGCCGCCAAATCAATCGGGTTTTCGTAAGGACTATAGCTGTACCACTGCCCTTTTAAGCATAATCGATGATATTATAAGAGCCTCTGATCAGGGCATATCTTCTATACTGGTGCTTTTGGATTATTCCAAGGCATTTGATAGAATTAGTCACAAATTATTACTATCCATATTAAGTTTTGTGGGATTTTCGGAAAGTGCCATTCTACTTGTTGAAAGTTTTTTAAGTAATAGGATACAGTATGTGAAGACTAGTGCTGGGGTATCGTCCAGAGAAATTAATAGTTGTGGTGTCCCTCAGGGATCCATTTTGGGACCAATATTGTTCACAATTTATACAAGTAATGTAGCTAAAGATCTATATAGTGTTACAACGCATTACTATGCAGACGACACTCAGCTTCTCTTCTCTTTTGATCCTAATAACTGGTCGGAGGCTGAAATTTTAATAAATGATTAGATATAAGATTATTTATTATTAGATATGTTGATGAAAAGCTCCGATTGCCATGGTCTGGCTATTAATTCGCTTAAATCAAATGTTATGGTGTTTGGTAAGCAGAAAGGGAGAGTTTCGGAATTAATTAAAATTAAAATAGCAGGTAATAAGTTGAGTTTCACCCAATGCACTAGAAATTTGGGTCTGTTTATTGATAGTGTTGCGGACCGGTGTGGACTCGACCTAACTTAACAATATAGCCCGCCCTCGGATGACCTTAACATCGCATAGACACCGCAATGCTTCATTCGAAGATTAGAGAAGGATCGAGTCCCACTGAAATGGAGTAGTACATACGAGAACGTTCGAAAACCTTCTCTATGCACCTAACGATCTATGGACTATTCTAGTAAACTTTAACTGTAGGTATAAAAGCCGGCGGCCGTGACCTAGAAAGGGCAGTTATAAATATACCAGTGCAGTTGACGCGCTAAAATTCAAAATAAATTCTTAGTTATAAATCGTTTGTAAATAGTTCTATAAGTCTTTTATCGTTATTGTTTTTGTTAATTAGTGTTAAATAAATAGTGTTTAAATAAATTGTGACTTTCTATCCACACGGAACCGACGAAAAACGTAACAATAGTAAACTTCGTTTCAAGGAGCATGTGTCTCTGTGTTTAAAAAGGGCATGCTTATCATTAAGGATGCTCTATCCACATCGAAAAATCTTATCTGAATCAGTTAAAATAACGTACTTTGTTTTAGCAGATAGGGGAAAATGGTTCTAACAAAAAAAATCCAAAATTTACTGAAGATTATGGAGCTATTATTTATAGTACCCATTATTTAGGCAAAATTCTGTAAAAATTCTATTTTCTTTTAGCAGTTGTGCCATCTAGCGCCCTTTTTACGAACTTGAAAATAATTTCCAGCAATTTCTCATAGCCCCTTCAGTTGTAAATTTTTTTTCGTATGCCCTACGGCTAATACTTTCCGAGATACAGCCGAGAACTATTCTTAGTGGGACACCCTGTACTTTAATTAACATAGCATAACGCCTATAGAGTGCCTATATACCGGGCATCGTCATTTGAAACAGAAAATCGCAAGCAAATTTTGATCTGTCCAAATATTTGTTCCCCTGTTGATTTTGCAGCGAAGTCGTAATAGGTTTTTAAAAGGCCTGCATATGCTGAATACACATGCCAAATTTGAACAATTTTGAAAAAGCCGATTTCAAGTAATTTAAGAAAAACTGCATCTATTTTAAGTTGAAACCAGGCAAATGTCAACATACCTTAAGTTGTCAACTTGTCAACTCATGCTTTTATAGATCGTGATCAAATGTAATTTGTTGTGCTGTTTGTAGAAAATAAAATTTGGCATTCACAAAATCATAGGTTGACAATTTAAGGTATGTTAGCATTTGCGGGGTTTTGTATTGTTACCTATTCAGTTTCAATTTAAAAATGTACATCAAAAGCAAATTTTTAAAATCTTTTTTCAAACAATAACCACCCTGTATATTAAGTCTCAACACAGCTAACATATTTTATGTTATCTGTGGTCTCAGAACAATAATTTTTATAAACTATGTAAATATTGAAACACGAATTAAAGTCTAGCCATTTTGTTTATGAATTTATTCTCATAGTAATATTTAAGATAAAATAAGTGCTATATTTAACGCACTTTTCCCTTGACAACAAGACCATTTTTTTAAACTTTTATTTAAATTATTTAGATTTATAAAAATTCCACTTACCTATCTTTCAAACTTGTTACATTATATCCTTTTTCAATTTCTCTTATACCTTTCGGTCCACAAAACACTCTGGTAGATTGCAGTCCCTTTCCACTCTTTAAGGGATACAAAAATATACCCTTTAATTTTCCCACTTCAATCCATTCATTTGGTATTTTTTCCTTTTTGTATTTTCTAAATAGTAGAGCACTAACTAACACTAGAAACACTGTACCGGCAGCTATAGTGATATGAGATTGATTAAGAGAAACCATTTTTAAAACATTAAATTTTGTTGTTTGGGCGTCTGAATTGTGATAACCAACTGAACCAAATATATAAAATACTCAGATTTTTTTTTGTATTAATGTAGTTTGAATAAGAGATAAAAATAAAGAATGCGAACAGTTGTTACAGTAATTATTATTAGGCAAGGTCAAATTAATAGAAGTATCTTATAAAAGTGTATATTATGCTTTAGATAAATAAAACATCAACTTTGCTTGATGCTAAGTACAAATTGAAAATAAAAATATTGAACGAAAATGTTTAAACCGGATATTATATAAATATACTTGTTTATTAAAATTTATCTGTAGGTCAAAGGGATTCTTGTGGACCAGACATTTATAATATATTCTCTCGTGGTCAGATACCGTATGATCGAAAAAAAAACGGCGTCCAGTTGGCTGGGAAATGACGATCGATGACATTTCCCATATAAATCTACATATATAAGTTGCTAATGTTTATCTGTGTCGTCTCTACTGAAGTAACGACTTGCTCTAGAAAGTGGCTTTTTACTAAAAGATAGCTAATTGGCTCTTCTAAAAACTGTCGTCGTCGGACTTTTTGTTTTTCATTTAATTAAAAAAAAAGTATTTTTTTCCTTATGACGTGGTGGATGCGCCAGGCTTCAACTCGTTTGCATATAAAATGACTGCGGTCTTCACTTCATAGCCGTCGCTGACGCCGTTTTTTCCGATCATACGGTATTTATTTAATGTTCTCAATGTTTATAGTAGTAGAGCACAAGATGCTCAATGGGGATTTACTCGAGGGTCTACTATCTATAGTATTGTGAAAAGTAAAAATTAGATGCTAAAAAGAAAATAAGGTTATACTGGGTGTCCCAGAAATAAGTACTTTAAGGGTTGGTAGATCTCGATAAAAGAAACATATTTTCTCTATATCGTTTTTCAAATAAGTCCAAAATAACGGAGTTATTTTACTTTGAAAATTTCCAAAAAAATAATTTTTTACTAAAATTTTGAGAACCACTGGATCTTTTCTGGATTTTATTTCTTGTAAATTCAATCTAATACCTATGTTGTCATATTACCAAGAAATTATGTTTTTTAACTAAAAACTAAAAAAATTCCAAAAAATTTCGAATTTTCCATTTTTTTTTGGCGTGTTTTATACTACCAGTGCACTTATATTTGGGACACCCTGTATAGTCTGGTTCACATGTATCATTTTTAGTAAAATTTTTCAATATTCGTCGAAAATTACGCATGTGGTGGCACTCGATTCGTATTGTCAGCTAGAAAGTTTAAGAAAAAGTCCGAAAAGGCGCTGAAAAAATTACTAAAGTTTTTAACAATTAAGTGAAAAAAAGTGGGGGTGTGTTTTTTTGGAATACCTCGAAAAATATTGAAGATTTTCGAAATATGAAAAAAAATCCAAAAAGATGAAGAAATTTACTAAAAAATGTTCTAGCTCCCGGAACTGTAGTTCAAATATTTGTAATTTTTACAGAGCCCTGAAAACAGAGCTAAAAACGGGTAGTCTGGCTTCCGCGCGCGTTGTGTTACTTTAAAACAACAACTTAAAAAATTATTTAACTATATTAAATATTAATATTAAGGAATAAGAAAATTCATGGAGTGTTGGGATACATGAATAAACAATAATCCGCGGTCGAAAGGTTTGTATCCCAATTTTAACTTTAATTATGCATTTGTTAATTAATAACTTTTTCTAAACTGAGAGTTAATATAAAGATCCCGATAATTATTAAACTAAAACCCTAAAATTATTTTCACTTAGTGAAGTTATTCTTAATGACCTTACTGACCCAGAGCCAGTGGTTCCAAAAAAGCTCTATATCCATAGTAGATTGGAAAGCCCGTAAAAATTTTAGGTCGCGAAATTATTTTGGGTCGCGACCGTTATACGCGATCTGGCGCTGCTATAGCGGTCGCTAAGAACAACGGCAAACAAAAACAGAAATAATTTTCTCTTGTCAAAGTCAGAATCTTCAAAAATCATAATAATCTTTCAAAATCTAAACCGCTCTCGTTAAAGAAATTCCGAAAAGTGTTTATGGCGTCCATTTTCAAAGAAATTATTGCTATCTTGTGAGTTTAATTCAAGTTTTATTTACTCCAACCGGTGATAATTGTGAAAAAGTGGCATTAAAAACTTAAAAAGCTGTGCTGAGAACTGTGAACTGCAAAAACCATCGTGGATCGTGGTATAACGTCGATTTCCAGTGTTCATAGGTATTTCATACATGCGTCCTTATATAAAATAAAGTTTCTTGTATGCAACACACTGTATTTTATTTATAAAATTAAACGAAAATAATAATAAATTTGAATAAACAATATTTGGCGATATAATTCCGGAAAAAGCCGAACCGCTCCGAAATTTTCAAAAGTTTTGGGTCGCGACCGTTGCAAGAATAGCGCCAAATAGTGTTTACATTGTCCTTATGGGCACTTTCCAATCTAAACTTGTTTCATTTATCTATGCTCTATATCTGATTTTTGGCACTTTAAGATATTTTGACACTATGACACTGATTTAAATAAAAAAAAGATATGAAAACAAATAATTATTTATACAGAAATTGTTATTCACATCATTACAATATTTTTTAATTTATTTTGATAGTTTCACATATATTAATAAATAAATATTTTTTCAGCCTTCTTAAAAAAAATATTAAAAATACAAAACTATATCAGGTATTTACTTTAGATGATTTGTTCTTACTTTACTATAAATATAGTAATCTTAAATCATTACAGTTGAGGGTTGGAACCTTTGGTGTTACACAGCAAAATAAAAACACTAAATCACCACAATACACCAAAACACTTTTACTTTTACACTGGACGCGCGTTTCGCTAACCATGTTAGCATCATCAGCAGATGATTATAAACTAAAGTACAATCTACAAGTTGAGCGTTTATATACTCGCCCAGTAGGCACCGAGTGGGCGTGGCAAAATCTAGCCAGCCGAGTCAGAACCCACTGAGCGTAACAATAGCTTTGTTCGGGTTCTTGTTATTACCGATTCTGAACCGTCCTAGAACTGTGATGCGTATGCGCAGAAGGAAATATGAAGACATTATTTCATTTGCTCATGCGCTTCAGAGTTCTAGGACGGTTCAGAATCGGTAATAACAAGAACCCGAAAAAAGCTAATAATTAGATTTCCGCCACTAGAGTAGTAGGAACAAAGAACTTGATGGAATTGGACCTTTGCCTCTGTTCCTACTATCTTTACATTTATTAATTCTGATGCTTTCATATGCATCTAATTGCCTGTAATTTGAGACTTGTTTAATTAATTTTAAATTATTAAGATCTATACAATGTTCATTATCAACAATATGTTCGGCAACGCAAGATTTATCCGGTCTACCATATCTTATCTGAGCTAAATGTTCTTTAAATCTAGTTAATATTGATCTTCTAGTTTGCTCAACATATTTCTGATTACAATCTTTACAAGAAATTTCATAAATACCCGACCTTTCCAGTGGAGGTGTTTTATCCTTTGAATTGCGCCGAGACGACAACCATTCGTGCCATGAATTTTGGTACGACTGATATTGGAGATGGAGAACTACCCTCTATAAAACCGTCCCAGATACTGGCTTTTGTCAAAGCCCTGGGACTGTATGATGAGTTATGATTCAAGAAAGGGGGACACAATGGATCTGTAAGGTCGAAGTGATTAACCCCCCTCCAACTCATTCTAAATTCTAAAAAAAAAATCCTTTGAATTACCTATAATTGTTGTAATTTATTATTAGCACTATACACAAGTTTATAATTGACATTCTTAAAAATTCCTTTTAAACCACGGGATAACACTCTATCAAACGGTATCGAAAAATATTTAGACGTATCTTTCTCCACTTGAAAAGTCGAATTTTCAGAAATCATTAACCTACACCTACGTTTTCTAATTAATTTATCAACTAGTGAAGGGGAATATCCATTACACTCAGCTACATTCCTAATGTAATCTCTTTCTATTTCATATCTTTCGTTGGAAAGTGGGAAACTAAGTAATCTATGAACTAAGAAATTTAAACTAGCCATTTTATGTTCAACACTATGATGTGATTCATTAGGAATATATCTGCGTGTGGTCGTATTTTTCCTATAGATATCAAATGCCAGGCAATTATTAGTATTTCTAATAACTAATACATCTAGAAATGGTAATCTGTCGTTGTTCTCAATTTCATGCGTAAATTTAATGGAAGGAAAACGATTATTTAACTTAGAAATAAAATTATCTATAGTGTCTGAATGTGTGTCAAAAACAGCAAAAATATCATCCACATACCTAAACCATACTCTTGGAAAATACCCAAACTGATTCTTAGCCTCCACTTCAAACCTGCTCATGAATAAATTAGCCAAAAATGGAGACAATGGATTACCCATTTCTGTACCTTCCCGCTGTTCAAAAAAGTTGTTATTAAATTGAAAACAATTTTGTTTCATACATAACGATGTAAGCTCAATATATTCACTCACAGTTTTGTTGTCGAGACCATTTGCGTTCAGTAATTCCTTTAAGTAGCCTAAAATATGTGGAATTGGAACACTTGGGAACAACGAAGATACATCAAAGTAGACCAAAATTTCACCTTCATGCAATGTTATATCTTTAATTTTGTTAATGAATTCAATATTATTTTTAACTGAGAAAGAAGGTTCATGATCAGGTAAATTTTCGAACTCCCTTGATAATCATTTTGCCAAATTATAAGTCGGAGAACCTACAGCCGATACAATTGGGCGCATAGACTTGTCCGGTTTATGAATTTTTGGCAAAGCATACAATTTTGGTAATGAGGGATTGGATACTTGCAATTTCCTCTTTAAAGAAAGATCAATAAGGGTGTTACATTCTTTTAGAGTTTTTTTAACGTCTGCTACCATCTTAGACAAAGGATTCTTTTTCAAATTTATGTAGGGGCCATTATCGATTAAGTTGTTAACCTTATCGTAATAGCCTTTTTTATCTAATATAACAACCTTATTTCCCTTATCCTTTAAAATATAATATACAGGGTGTTCTATTTCAAAAATAACAAAGAAAATTCATTTTATATTTTAGAATATTTGGCGTAGAATTTTGAACACCCTGTATGATTTAAGTTTACAGTATTTAAAGCAAAGTAAGTACAGACCATCTAAAGTAAATGCCTAATATAGTTTTGATTAAAATATTAAAAATACAGGTCTTGTATTTTTACTATTTTTTTTTAGATAGGCTGAAAAAATATATTTTTAATTATTTATTAATTTCTCTGGAACTATCGAAATATATTTATTCATATCTTAGGATTATTCAAAGTGATCTGAAAGAGAGATCTTTTTTGAGCCAATTTTTTGCTTTTGTTGAATATAAATAAAACAACAAAAGTTAAGACAATAGTTTTATTTAAATAAAATATCGTATTAGCTTATTTCACATTACATTTCAACAATAATAATCAATATTAGGAACAACAAAATATATTATTACATCTATATGATGTCTAAGAGTTAATCTGAAATTGATGATTTCTAAAAAAAACAAAATTTATATATATAAGTCAGAAAAAAAATGAAAGTTTGTATATTATAAAAGGCTGCAATAAAATTAAGTACCTACATTTTCACTGTTAAAATGAACAAAAAATATATATAAATTAAGAATTCTAAAATATATTACAGATCATGTTTTATATCCTAGCTAATCTGCAGAGATTTAAAATTTCTTACAGATACTACCACGTTTCCTTTTTCGTTTAAAATATTTTATTAAATTCATTCTCAATCGCTTTTAGGGATATATACAGGGTCGCCAACCTTAATTAATCCAGACTTTCTAGTTTCGCAGTTGATTCCCATGGTTGGTAGGCTGCTTGGACCATTACTTAAACGGTATCTAAAAATATAACCATGATTTAAATTAAATATATAAAAAAATGTAATAAAGGTACTAACGTTTCTAGTGTTTTTAGTGGCTCTCTATCGCTACTTCTGGAAGCATTTTCTGGATCGATAGTTGTCATAATACATCTGGAAAAAAATCATATCATTAATTAAATTAAATCATAATATCCTTAACAAAAAAATGTTTTATAAAACTTTTTTTTGTTAAGGAATACTTAAATTTACTATATATGAACTTATATGTTTTTCTAGTTTTAAAGGTGTGGCAAAAAAACTTTGGCATTACCGTCCATATTTACAATTTACAATATTTTAAATTTGAACGCAAACATTTTCAGTATTTTTGAATTTTTTCATTAGTATCAACCGTCAAGTTACCAGGCACGCCACAGTTGTGACTTACCGGCCAATAACAGTTATAAAAATATAACAGCTCACTGGCATCGATTTTTTTCAAAGACTCTTAATGTTTTTTACTGTTTGAAATCAATAGACACCATAAATGTGTTATTTTAAACTGTTATTTTGTAACTTCTAAAAAATAACAGGTATGAAAATAACAGCTCACTGGCATCGATGTTTTTCGAAGACTCTTAATGTTTTTTACTGTTTAAAATGAATAAACACCATAAATGTGTTATTTTAAGCTGTTATTTAGTAACTTCTAAAAAATAACAGGTATGAAAATAACAGCTCACTGGCATCGATGTTTTTCAAAGATTCTTAATGTTTTTTATTGTTTAAAATAAATAAACACCATAAATGTGTTATTTTAAGCTGTTATTTTGTAACTGCTATAAAATAACAGACATGGCACATATACATGGCAGACATAACTGTTATTTGGCATCGACGTTTTTCGAAGATTTTTTTCATGTTTTTACTGTTTAACAATAAAACTAATAAATATCATATATCTGTTATTTTGTAACTTGTAAAATAATATATGTGAAAATAACAGTTCACTACCATAGATATCTTTCTATGGTAGTAGTATAGATAAGTTTCAATTTTAATTCATTGTTCATCGAAATTATTTTTGTTTTTACTGTTTAACTATAAAATCAAGAATTACCATAAATCTGTTATTTTAAACTGTTATACTGGCATCGATGTTTTTTAAAGATTCTTTTTCGTGTCTTTATTGTTTAACAATAGAATCACTAAATAACATAAACCTGTTATTTTTAAATAATAACAATTTCAACTATTATTTAGATAAAACAGATTTGACTAATTCTTATTTTGAATAGAAAATTTTGCGGAACAGTTTGGCAGTTCCAAAATAACTTGCATTGTTATTCTTTTGATGATACCTCGTGATTTCTATTATAAGAATAGTTAAGTACGTTTTCATCTTTATTGTTTCAAAACATACCTAGTAAATTTTAAGAAAAAAAGTTATTTCTAAAATTTAACTCTTTCAATAATTTTTCTAACCTTGTACACTCTTTGACATTACGTAGTACCACGTCTCCAATTTTGATCCACTCCCATTGGTCCTCTGCGTATGGTTCCAAGCAAGGGCCGTCCACAATGACGTTGGGACGGAAATTGTCTACCGAAACAGTAGACTTGTTTATTCTTTTGTTCAAATCGCGAATAGAGGCTTGGTTGACCAGAAGGATTGCAGTTAAGTCAGAGTACAGTCCCTAGTAAAAAAATACTTATTACTAAGTAGTAAACATATAAAAAAATATTTCCCAAGTTCCAAAAAAATATTTATGCTGAAATGCAAAGCTATTTATACATACAGCCTGGCAAATATCACAAAGGAACGGAGAAACGTTAAGAGAAATTTGATTTTGATGTCAATATGACTCCTACTAGTAGAGGCGCCACCTACATATTTTTTAACTGGTTTGAAGAGTAATAACTTTTCGTCCGCACCTGTATAAAACTACTGAGTAAAAAATATAGATTTACGACGTTTTTACGTAAAAAATGTCTCTTGGTAAAAATCGCTACGAGTATTGGTTTTCGACATATTTGGAATCGAAATTATCAATACCTGTCATCGCTGACATAAATTAAACACGTTGACTAAATAGTTATTAGACTGAGATCATAAATTTAAAAGTTTTTAGGCCAAAAGTTCAACAGAAATTGTTTTATCATCATTTTTGGCAGAAAAATTTATGATCAATTTAAAAAAAATAAAAAGTTTCCCAAACTTATTGTTTCAGTGAAATAACTATCTACTCAACGTGTTTATTTTTCGTCAATAATGTCATGTATTGACTATTTCCATTCTAAATATCTTGAGAACGGTTGCTCGTAGCGATTTTTACAAAGAGATATTTTTACGTAAAAAGTCACAGACATGTATATTTTTTCACTCGGTAGTTTTATACAGGTTCGACAAAAAGTTATTACGCTTCAAAACAGTTAAAACACCTGTAAGTGGCGCCTCTACCAGTAGGAGTCATATTGACATCAAAATCAAATTTCTCATGTCAAAAACTCCTAGACACCAATTTTCTTCGAAATATTGACGTTACTTCAGAAATTATTTGGCAAAAATCGAAATAAAAATGAAACTCCTACACCCTGTATCTCTGAAACTAAGCATTTTAGGACATACATTTATACGAACTTTTTTAATTATTTTTTTATGCAGAATATGGCTGCCGAAGTTTCCGGAATAAAGTTCGGACCACCCTGTATATTTCATATCAATTAAACTTTTAGTTACGTTGTAATTTCAATACAGATTAGTCGTACTTGATAAAAATTTCGATTTTTTAAAAACTGTAAATTTGCGGTAAAAAAGATTCTTAACCAAATTTTCACACTCTTGTAAAACACCCTGTATACAAGAATTCACTAAATATATTTAAAAAAATCACATAGTATCTTAATCACAATAGATGCATCTAAAACCTGGTCCAAACCGCATCCCAAAATCTTTTTTAGTTCAAGAGATATTCAACTTTAAATTTACCCTAAAATTTTGCTTGTCCCGATAATTATGTCCGGCAGTTTATTTGACGAAAATGTCCACAAGTACTAGTTAAACGCTTTTCTTCACTTTCACGTCACGCCAGAAAGAAATCTAATTACTAACCTGTTTGTTTCACTTATTTTTAATGGCCAAGCCGTAAGGGGAATCCCCTGGTGTCAATCCCGCAGATCCCGCACGGTAAATCCCGCAAATTTGATCCCGCGGAATCACAGAGGGATCCCGCATTTGCGGGATTGCATTCCCTAGTTGTGATACTTTAAGCTTGAAAATGTTTATTAGCAGACCGTGCAATCGAAAAATGGTTCTTTTTAGAACCGCTTTTAGTGCGAAGTGTACAAGATGCCGAAGCAGCTTAACAGCCGTTGCAAAAAACTCATCACAACCTTATTAGAATATTTTAAGCGAGAAAGCCGTAGTAATGACCCTTTATGTCCCTTAAGTGCTGTTAAGGAGGTGAGTTTTGTTGATCTAAATAATAAGTGTTTATATATTTATAATTAATTCATTTTTGTTTCCCAAAATATTTTGATTAAAAGAAAACATGTGTAAGCTTAATCACGTGACTAAAAGTTTATTTGGTATGATCTATATACACAGTTATCTTCCGGCGAATCATATCCAAATATGTTATGAAAAAAACTAAATCAGAAATTATTTTAAAAAATCACAGTATGTAACCTGTGAACGTCTTACTTACTGTTGAGTAATTGGATAAATTAATATAGTAATCCAAAATGTTCTTGTGCGTTTTTGTTATGTCCCGTCCTCTACTTGCATCGTGAAATCCTAACCTCAAACCATTATCTTTCTCCAAAATGTATCTTGAAAACCAAGATGCAGCTTCGTCTCCGCAATCAATAGCAAAGATTTCTTCCCCTTTGTGCAATCTAATTAACAAATAAATACGGCGTCAAGTTGGCTTGGAAATGATCGATGACATTTGATAACAATTTACATATACGGTAACAAGCTAAATCTGACGCTGGTTTTTTTAGATAGTATTGTATAATTTTTAATCAAAAATATTAGAAAATTAATAGATATTTACGATACAAGTAAGTTAACAGCATCATTAAGAGTGTGAAAGTTAACCACACAAGTATCTTAATGGAGTTAACTCACGTGTATTGTACAATATTTTATCTACGTCTAACTATAAAAACACATAATGAATATTAAAAATTATTGTACTTAACTATATACCTATCCTAAAAATCAATTACCTTAATACCTTTGTTCAAATAACACCATGCATGGCAATGTCAATATGACAGTAAATAATATTTGATGCCACTAGTTTAAAAAATGAGCGATTCGGAAAGTATTCCCTCCTACATTGAAGAAGAGGCATTCAGAGGCATTTCTGGATTGCTTCCAGCAAGATCGAAACAGAAGTATGAATATACTTATTCTAAGTATGAAAAATGGTGCACCGAAAAAAAGTACACAACTATGGAAATGAAAAGGTACTCATAACATAATTTAACAATTTAGTGCAATAAATGTTTAACACAACAACTACAATTTTGTTTTGTTTTTTGTTTTAAATTTGAACGCAAATATTTTCAGCATTTTTGGATTTTTTCATTAGTATCAACCGTCAAGTTACCAGGCACGCCACAGTTGTGACTTATCGACAAATAACAGTTATAAAAGCATAACAGCTCACGGGCATCGATTTTTTTCGAAGACTCTTAATGTTTTTTACTGTTTGAAATCAATAGACACCATAAATGTGTTATTTTGAACTGTTATTTTGTAACTTCTAAAAAATAACAGATATGAAAATAACAGCTCACTGGCATCGATGTTTTTCGAAGACTTAATGTCTTTTATTTTTTACTGTTTAAAATGAATAAACACCATAAATATGTTATTTTAAGCTGTTATTTTGTAACTTCTATAAAATAACAGACATGGCACATATACATGGCAGACATAACTGTTATTTGGCATCGAAAAATTTTTTTCATGTTTTTACTGTTTAACAATAAAACTAATAAATATCATATATTTGTTATTTTAAGCTGTTATTTTGTAACTTCTAAAATAACATATGTGAAAATAACAGTTCACTACCATAGATATCTTTCGAAGTTTCAATTTTAATTCATTGTTTATAATAATAATATTATTAATAAGTAATATTGATTCGAAAAGTATTCCCTCCTACATTGAAGGAAGAGGCATTCAGAGACATTTCTGGATTGCTTCCAGCAAGATCGAAACAGAAGTATGAATATACATACTCTTAAGTATGAAAAATGGTGCACCGAAAAAAATGTACACAACTATGGAAATGAAAAGGTACTCACAACATATTTTTCCAATGAGGAAGATGCATGCATTTTATATTTCGCCAGAAACTGTTCAATTTATTAGAATAAATATGTGTAAATGCAAAAAAAAACTTTTTTCTTGAAAGCAGTACCACATTTTTATAAAACGGGCCATTAAAATACTATGGATAACGCAAACGACGCCTCGCGAATTGAAACGATATTCTATTGGTCTGACGTCACCCGCCGTTCTCGTCGACGCGCGATGGCCAGCAGCAGCCAGACGTGTTCCGTTTATGTACGTATTTAGGTGGCGTACTAAGACATTTTTGTTGCTTATAGCGTTGATTGAAGGAGCTTTTTATGCTTTTTTTGTGCAGTTATTATTTGTATGTGTTGTGTGTTCTGAGAATTTTTTAAGTAATGGCAGATTCCGGGTTTGTAAAAGCACAATCAGATAACTTGCCAAAAGTCGATGCTTTTATATTGGCTGCTTTTATAAATACAAATTCCCAATTTATTGGTGCTGAATTACGAGGACAGAGACAAAAAACAGAGAGGTATGTAACATTTATTCTTTGTAGTACTGAGGCATATTTAAGTATAAGTAGGTACCTACTGTTACGAACTTTTATATAGTTATAAATTTTAATGTTATAAACTTATTTGTCAGATCAGGTAGGGAGACGTATGGAGATAATGCTGTAGGTTATGTAGAAGTGAAAAGAGACAAAAATATTTCTTTAGTACGTGGAAAAATAACTCCAGAGCATAGCGTGAAAAAGAAAATTTTTTTATATATTGACACCCCCTTATCCTTGTTATTTTTAAAGATTGTTTTTTTTACGAAATTATAGGAAATAAATTGTGTATCAGTAATGAAAATATTATACAAGGTGTCCCATAAGCAAACGCCAAAATTAAGTTACTTTTTTAAGTGAAACACCCTATATATTTTTAGATTCTTCGGAAATTTCTAGATATTCTAGATATATTTCATGTATAATATCCTATACCTATCTTCAAATGTTTACGAAATATTGACAGTTGAAAAGCGAAAAATACCTACAATTTTCTGGACCACCTTTTTTGAGACACTCTGTATAACTAGAATTAATTTTAAAAGAGAGTATATGAAAACCATGCAACTTTTTTATTTAATGTTTTCCTCTAAAACTTGCAGTTAAGGCTTTATGTGTATGTCAAAATATAATGAATAACCCTCTACATTCAAATTTCATATATCTATGTATTGTATTGTATTGTATTGACTTAGAGTGGGTCCCATGGGACCCTCCACTGCGGCCGCGAGGGCCTTTTGTGGCTCAGTTTCTACAAACTCTAATATACAAGAGCGTCAAAGTTCACCCTCAAGACCCAGCCTCTTAATATAGGCCGTTATGTCTGAGGGCGATATGTCTCCTAGGTCTGATAGGTTTAGCATGGGTTTGCCAAACATCTCAAACCTGGTCCTGCCCCCAGCGGGGCAGGTACACATAACGTGCTTCATTGTTTCGTCATCTTCCATACAGAGTCGGCATTCGGCGTCTTCCACCAGTCTCATCCTCTGTAGGTGAGATCTCAGCCGGCAGTGGCCCGTGTACACTGCAGTGAGCGTACGCGCTCCATTCCTACCGGCCTTTAAGAGTTCTCCTGTTCTATGTTTGGATGGCCCTGCTAGGATTTTCTTGGCATGTTCCATTCCGGGACTGTCATTCCAGTCCCGGAACGTCGCACCCCTAACCCATTCACAGAGCCTGTCTCTTGCGAGATTTTTAGGAACGCTAAGTGTCGATTCTGGGCCCACACATATACCTATGTAAGACAATATGCATAAATATATGAACTTATTTCAAAATGATCTTCACAACAATAAATCGTAAAGATAGAGAATAATTTAACGTTTTTCTTTTCATCTCTTCTCATGGCTTTGGACCATTTTTTTCTGTTTTCGCTCATCCATTACTATTTATAAATATCACTAATTACTAATTCTGTATTAATTAACACAAATAACTAAAATTTTGACTCGGATTCAATAGCGTTTAAAAGCAAACTGTGTAAAATAAACACGCGTCTGGCTCCACTCAACCAGAAGAACGGCGGGTGACGTCACAGCGGCAAGGCGCGGTAGAGAGCGTTTGCCCGGCCATTTAAATTACCAATATTTAATTATTTTATATTAGAGGCATTTCTTAACCGATATCAACGATTTTTTTTTGTTCAATTTGTAATTATATGAACTATTTTTTAAAACCATTATTTAAAAACATGCATTTTCCTCATTTAGTGCAATAAATGTTTTACAAAATATTTTTTTCTCTTTGGTAGTCATCTAAACAAGGAGTGCGGTAATGAAAATTCGTGAGTTAAGAAGCTCTTAACTCACTCAAAATGCGTGAGTTAAGAGTAAGAGCTTCTTAACTCACTGACGTAGGTAAATCTATCTTCTATAACTCACCTAACTAAAGTATTCTTGTTGTCTTGAGAATTGGGAATCTTAACATACAATGTTCTCATGGTGGGTGCATCGACTGCTAGGTACTTATCATCGTGCACTGAAACATCTATGAGTACCATCTTGGGGTAGGTTCTGGCAGTACGGAATTCATTGTCGCTCTCTGAGTACACTACCAAGCATCTGAAATTCGACCTGGGTTAATATACAAATTATATTAATCCAGCGGAAAATAACTGCTTTATTCTGTATTCTTTTTTATGTTGTTTGTTATATTACAATATTAAAATAAAAGTCCTTGAATTGAGGCAAATTTATTATCGTATTTGTTCAGATGTGTCAAAATTAGATTAACATTTTTTCGTATTTTTACATTAAAACCATGCCGCATAGATAAATGAAACAAGTTTAGATTGGAAAGTGCCCATAAGGACAATGTAAACACTATTTGGCGCTATCCTTGCAACGGTTGCGACCCGAAACTTTTGAAAATTTCGGAACAGTTCGGCTTTTTCCGGAATTATATCGCCAAATATTGTTTATTCAAGTTTATTATTATTTTCGTTTAATTTTATAAATAAAAGACAGTGTGTTGCATACAAGAAACTTTATTTTATATAAGGACGCATGTATGAAATACCTATGAAAAATTGGAAACCGACGTTATGCCACGATCCACAATGGTTTTTTCAGTTCACAGTTCACAACACAGCTTTTTTCACAATTATCACCGGTTGGAGTAAATAACACTTGAATTAAACTCACAAGATAACAATTATTACTTTGAAAATGGACGCTAAAAACACTTTTCGGAATTTCTTTAATGAGAGCGGTTTGGATTTTGAAAGATTATTATGATTTTTGAAGATTCTGACTTTGACAAGAGAAAATTATTTCTGTTTTTGTTTGCCGTTGTTCTTAGCAACCGCTAGAGCAGCGCCAGATCGCGTATAACGGTCGCGACCCAAAATAATTTCGCGACCTAAAATTTTTACGGGCTTTCCAATCTAAACTTGTTGCATTTATCTATGCCATGCCGTTCATATGCCGTTGCTTTTGGTCCTAGTCAACAGACATTTACAATAATGTTTATGATTTATGTAACGTCACTGTCTTTAAAAAACCATATTATTATTGTCTGTCGGGCAGTGTTAGTCACAAAATATCCCCCTTTAGAACTTTTTTCCTTAATGGCAACAGATGGCCATAAGCGGGTGTAAGTGTAAAAAAGCTCAACCGCCCGAACGAACACTAGAGGCGCTACCGGTCATCAAATGGTGTCAAAATTGCGAAAATTTAATCATTTAATTTTGACACAAGGGGTCGCGCTTAACTTTTTCAATTTTAATTCAAAATTCATTGTTTTCAAACTATATTATTAGACTTTGTTGTATTTTGTGAATGTATAAATGTTTTCTTAGTATAAAGTTGCATTATAGTAATTTAAATTATATTACATACATATTTAAGATTGAAATATTATGACATATATGTCATCAGTTGCCGTCTAAAATGTCATCCATAGATAAATGCAACAAGTTTAGATTGGAAAGTGCCCATAAGGACAATGTAAACACTATTTGGCGCTATTCTTGCAACGGTCGCGACCCAAAACTTTTGAAAATTTCGGAGCGGTTCGGCTTTTTCCGGAATTATATCGCCAAATATTGTTTATTCAAATTTATTATTTTTTCGTTTAATTTTATAAATAAAAGACTACAAGTGTGTTGCATACAAGAAACTTTATTTTATATAAGGACGCATGTATGAAATACCTATGAAACATTGGAAACCGACGTTATGCCACGATCCACGATGGTTTTTGCAGTTCACAGTTCACAACACAGCTTTTTCAGTTTTTAATGCCACTTTTTCACAATTATCACCGGCTGGAGTAAATAAAACTTGAATTAAACTCACAAGATAGCAATAATTACTTTGAAAATGGACGCTATAAACACTTTTCGGAATTTCTTTAATGAGTGGTTTAGATTTTGAAAGATTTTATGATTTTTGAAGATTCTGACTTTGACAAGAGAAAATTATTTCTGTTTTTGTTTGCCGTTGTTCTTAGCGACCGCTATAGCAGCGCCAGATCGCGTATAACGGTCGCGACCCAAAATAATTTCGCGACCTAAAATTTTTACGGGCTTTCCAATCTAAACTTGTTGCATTTATCTATGCCATGCCGTTCATATGCCGTTGCTTTTGGTCCTAGTCAACAGACATTTACAATAATGTTTATGATTTATGTAACGTCACTGTCTTTAAAAAACCATATTATTATTGTCTGTCGGGCAGTGTTAGTCACAAAATATCCCCTTTTAGAACTTTTTCCTTAATGGCAACAGATGGCCATAAGCGGGTGTAAGTGTAAAAGCTCAACCGCCCGAACGAACACTAGAGGCGCTACCGGTCATCAAATGGTGTCAAAATTGCGAAAATTTAATCATTTAATTTTGACACAAGGGGTCGCGCTTAACTTTTTCAATTTTAATTCAAAATTCATTGTTTTCAAACTATATTATTAGACTTTGTTGTATTTTGTGAATGTATAAATGTTTTCTTAGTATAAAGTTGCATTATAGTAATTTAAATTATATTACATACATATTTAAGATTGAAATATTATGACATATATGTCATCAGTTGCCGTCTAAAATGTCATCCATAGATAAATGAAACAAGTTTAGATTGGAAAGTGCCCATAAGGACAATGTAAACACTATTTGGCGCTGTTCTTGCAACGGTCGCGACCCAAAACTTTTGAAAATTTCGGAGCGGTTCGGCTTTTTTCGGAATTATATCGCCAAATATTGTTTATTCAAATTTATTATTATTTTCGTTAATTTTATAAATAAAATACAGTGTTTTGCATACAAGAAACTTTATTTTATATAAGGACGCATGTATGAAATACCTATGAAACATTGGAAACCGACGTTATGCCACGATCCACGATGGTTTTTGCAGTTCACAGTTCACAGCACAGCTTTTTAAGTTTTTAATGCCACTTTTTCACAATTATCACCGGTTGGAGTAAATAAAACTTGAATTGAACTCACAAGATAGCAATAATTACTTTGAAAATGGACGGTATAAACACTTTTCGGAATTAATTTAATGAGAGCGGTTTAGATTTTGAAAGATTATTATGATTTTTGAAGATTCTGACTTTGACAAGAGAAAATTATTTCTGTTTTTGTTTGCCGTTGTTCTTAGCGACCGCTATAGCAGCGCCAGATCGCGTATAACGGTCGCGACCCAAAATAATTTTGCAACCCAAAATTTTTACGGGCTTTCCAATCTAAACTTGTTGCATTTATCTATGATGTCATCTTGATAACAAAAAGTTAGTTATTGTGAAAAGTAGTTAAAATCATGTTAAAATATTAAAATTTACAAGTTATAATTAGATATTTTATATTATTTCATCAACAAACACATAATAGTACAGCGTAATGTTGATATGCAAGTCCAAAACAAAAAGTGCCGTTATATTTTTCAGTTTTCGTTGTCAGCCGCGGAAGTTTCAGTGATTTTTGTGTTGTCGGATATTTTTATTTGTGAAATAGAAATATTGCGTTTGGATTGCAAAACTGTAAGTGGAAGTTTTATTGCAATGTAAGTAAGCGTTTGTCCATTTTATATTTTACTTTTTTCATACCTACGACAAATATACATATATTGATATTTTATAATTCGTTTTACTTAAAAAATGTTAGAAAACAAGCTTGTAATCCTGTAATTGACATAATTGTTATGTAATATATTCCATTTAAATGTAATATATTACTTTACAATTAAAAAAATGTAAATTTAAAAAATATATTAAAAATATATACAGGGATTAATTGAAATTTTTTGAGTGCGAACAAACACGAGAGGCGCCTTATTATTTACTTTCATTTCTTAACATGACAGACGAAGTTCTAAAGGGGGATGCTTTGTGGTGTTAGTCTAGCAGATATGATATTAATGGTATTAAGTCCAAAAATTGATCTTTTCCATAGAGTTAAAAATTAAATCTTTACAAACAATAAACACTAGGTATTTTATAAGTTTGTTTATGAGGACCCAAAAGCGAGATAATAAAAAATTCAAATAATTTAGCTACAAATTGCTTAAAAAATAATCAAAATCGGCCCACTAGAACAAAATTTATTAAACTTTAATATACATAAAAATTTTAAGGTGCCCGTTTTTCGTACAGGTGAATGTACTTTAAAACTACTGTGAACAGGTTGTGTAGAAAACACCCTGATTACCTATCTCTGAGCTGAAACACCTCCTCATCATCTTTCGTTTGTCTCAATCCAAACTCCGTGCATTCTGCTTGACTGAGTTCGATTCTATGACCGCTTTTTAATGGGTAGAGATTCAGTCTGGTTAGTTTCCCAATTTCTTCCCATCTCCATGGGATGATGAGGATTTCTTTCTTCTTTTTTTGATAGAAATATGCTCCCACTGCGGCCAAGACCGATGCCAATGAGACGAAGGTTAGTTTGTAGCCGAGGCCCATAACGTCCTATTTGGGTCCTGAAAATATTAGAAAATATATTAGAGTATACAGGGTGAGAGATAAATCGTTGCACAATTCGCCATTTCATAGCTTCTTATAAAATAAAATTATAACTTTTAATTCACCATATAATTTTACCATCGATTGTCATTTCTCAGTAACTTGACGCCGTTTTTTTTTTCAATAAAAGAAACAATTGGATATAATTTGCCGTTTAATCGAAAGCAAGCAGGAAAAATTGCTAGGGCTTGTGTTTTTCAACAAAAAATAAGAATAATATTAAAAAATAAACACATTTTTTGAATAAAACCTTTACATGAATTTCTCTATCGATAAATTTGATAGACTTGGTTATCAAACCGTGTTCCCGTAGATTACCTAAGTGCCTAGAAATTTTGTAAAAAAATAAAAAATAATATACACTTTTTCAACAAAACAAGATAATATTAACTAAACAAAATTAGAAAAAGTCATTTTTACCACATCACAAGCAAATAAAAATTAATATTTAGCCAATCAAAATTGAAGAAGATTTGATTCTCTGGGGGGTGCCTGTAAAAAAATAAAAAATAATATACACTTTTTCAACAAAACAAGATAATATTAACTAAACAAAATTAGAAAAAGTCATTTTTACTACATCACAAGCAAATAAAAATTAATATTTAGCCAATCAAAATTGAAGAAGATTTGATTCTCTGGGGGGTGCCAAACAGTACCTGTGGTGGGCCCGGCACCCCCTGGCTTCCCTGTAGTTACACCAATGAGTTTTTTCCATATTAGGTACCTAATGTGGTCAGATATTATTTTTAATTTTAAACCACTGGTATAAATAATTTCGAAATCATACTTTTAAGTGTATTAAGAGTACTCTGTATATTGTTTACTTTCATACAATAATGTTTACCTAAAATTGTTAGATAATAAACCATAAAACAGTAGCAGAGGTAGGTATATAAAATTAAAGGTCGTTACATTATCACGTCATATGATTTATTAGGTATTATTATACCTAAAAGCGTCAATATTAGATAACAAAAATCTACAAAAATTGCAAATTGCTAGTAAAAATATTCGAAGATATTATAAAAAAGATCCTAATTTTTAGGTCAATCGAAAAAATTAAATTTTGACAAAATTAACCCTCTCTATTCTAGGGATGTATCGGCATTATAATGTTCGATAAGCTAATCGATACTCTGTATCGAAATTTTCAAAGCAACACATTGACATGGCACATATAATTTGTCCTAATTTGTCCAACGAAAGGATAAAAGACAGTAGCTATGAAAATCTGTTCATTGAGAGGATATATATTATGACAGTGACATTTCTTGTCTGTTATTTTAATTCACAGGAAAATTGTTTTTTTTTCCTGTCATATATTGTTTATCGTCTGTCGAAATCTTCCCTGACTCGTTGGACAGACTATACAGGGTGGTTCGAACTGTATTCCGGATAATTCGGCCGCATATTCTGCAGATAAAAATAAGTAAAAAATGTATTTTCTATTTTTGTATGCATTTGTAATTCGTATAACTGTGTGTCCTAAAATGCTTAGTTTCGGAGATACAGGGTGTAGAAGTTTTATTTTTATTTCGATTTTTTCGAAATAATTTCTGAAGTAACGTCATCCAAATATTGAGGATGAAAATTGGTGTCTGGGAGTTTTTTGACATGAGGAATTTGATTTTGATGTCAATATGTATTTTAACTGTTTTGAAAATGAAAAGTAATAATTTTTTGTCCGTAATAGCCTTGTAATAGATAGTTATTTCACTGAAATGAGAAATTTGGGAACTTTTTACTTTTTCAAATTAATCCTAATTTTTTCTTCGAAAACATTATGATAAAACAGTTTCTATTGAACTTTTGGTCATTCAATCAAAATAAAAATGAAATTTCTACACCCTCTATCTCCGAAATTACGCGTTTTAGGACATACATTTATACGAATTTTTTTACTTAATTTATCTGCAGAATATGCTGCCGAAGTTTCCGGAATACAGTTCGGACCACCCTGTATATCCCTTATAAGTACGTTATAAATAACGGGTAGAAATTTAATAAATAAATATATAAAATAAAAGTTTATTTAATTAAACCAAAGCTATATTGTTGGGGGCAAGTTATCTTTAAAATAACAACGAAATAACTAATTAAAATAATTCTGTCACAAATTTATATCGTCCTTGAGATATATCCAGAAAACAGGAAAAATAAGAAATTACTCCTGTTAATATTGTTACAGATTCTCTTATCTCAATGAATAATTTAATATGCAAACATATGACGCTATTTAATATTTTACAGCACCTTACTAATTTTCATTTTTATGTAATACCAAATAATCCCTTTAAAAAACACAGAAAATTGTACATTTTTAATTATGAATATTAGTAATTTTATTTTAAAATATTTGTACATAAAAAATATATACAAAATAAATAATATTGTCTTTAGCTCTCATTTATCATTTAATGCGATTATTGACACAAAAAAGATATAAATATGAATAATTATCTCCAGAGTACAGATATATTAGCCATTATCTTACAAAATTAAAAAAATATAATACCAAAAACACCACCCCTATACAAAAATAGTTCTTTAACTCTCTTTACAGAAGAATATATCTTTTTTTAATTATAACTTCTCAAAAATATTAAAATTCCAATTTGTAACAAGTAATGACCTCCAACATTAACAACAATTACCATTTTAGAACACATAAATAAGAATTATTATCAGAATTAAATGCATTATTCTAATTTATTTATTCTTACCTTTTAATCAACTTTTGAACCAAATTCTATCGTACACTCCCACAGTTTTTTGTTAATTTCTACCGGTTTGAGCACATGATTAGTACTGCGCTAGTTTCAGTTGAGCGGTACTGCACAAAATCACCTAATAGTACGGGCGCACAAGCGGGGAATTTCGAATTTACTTAAGCCCGCTAGAATATACAGTACCGAGTGCGTCTCAAAAGTGGTTCACCCCTATAACTTTTTTATTTTTTCAGATAAAAAACGAGATTTAGTATGTTGGTATATGACATAAATTAAGATTAATTGACGTATTCAATTGTTTTTTGTCATTTCCTGTTTCACCGGAAATGACTACAACTTTTGATTTTTAAATGGCGCCCTCGCTATATTTCTACTTTATTCGATAGAAAATGACACTTTGAATAGAATAACATACCATATGTCAACTTTTGATTTTTCGCATATGATTTCTTTGAAATTGTAACGTGCGGCTCATAACGACAATTTGACTCAAAATGCCAAAGTGTGTGGTACCAAATTATTCGTAAAAAATTTCCATTTGATGATGAGATATATATGATTAAAAATACGATTTGGGCAACTTTTAGTCGGCCAGGACAAGGCATGAAAAACATATAGACGATCAAATCTGTTTTTCCAAGGCTCCTTTGTTAAAAATTTGTGTTTTTAACACAGCCATGGCACTTTAGATTGAAATTTAAAATACGATTTTTTTAAGCAAAAATGTCAAAAGTTGACATATGATATATCATTTTACTCAGAGTGTCATTTTCTATCGAATAAAGTAAAAAATACCTAGGGTGTCATTTAAAAATCAGAAGTTGTAGCCATTTCCGCTGAAACAGGAAGTGACCAAAAATAATTGAATACGTCAATCAATTTTAATTTAAGACATGTCGTCACCCTAGAATAAGATTGTTCTATAGACCATTTCGATGAAACTGAGAAAACAAGGTTTAAAGTTTAAACTGGATATCCGTTAACACTATATACCAAAATGGTTCTATTAAACATATAAATTAAAGGTAATATAAAAACCTATCAAACATATGTATTTATTTTACTTTTAGAAGCTTTATTTAAAAGATATTAGTGATTTTAGATTTGGATATAGAACAAATGGGTCTATTAGCTGTGCATTGAGCCGATTTTAGGGATATAGAACAAAATAAGGGGATATAGAATAATATAATACTCATTTTAAGCTGATTTATTCGTATTTCAAAATATTATTTTAACACAAAATAACTGAAGTGGAGACATTAAAACATTAACTAAAAACAACATAAAAAAATAAAAACCTAAAATACAATAGTAGTAATTATTCGTCTGCATTGTTTATTAAATACTATCATTTTTTTTCGCCTATTTGTTTGGTATGTATAGTGGTTCTAATAATTTAATCAGATTTTAAATCTGATTCTTAACTTTCATTGGATTATTTAATTTTTTTTAGCTATCTGTAGTATTGATAGTATTAGAGAACGATTGAGCAGGCAATTGAGTTGAAGCAGCTGGTTTCACGAAATTCCAAAGTGTGAAACATTCGAATTTGCTAACAAACCACCCATATAACACACAATATCCGCAGGATATTCATAGAATGTCTGAATGTCCCATTATAAGATCATCTTATAAAGACATCTATAGGATATCCTCCAGACATCCTGAAATTCTGTAGATGTCTCAGAATAGAATATCCTATGGATATCTCTGTCGTATATCTAATGTACATCCAGCTGAGATATCCAAACATGCTCATGATAATAAAATATCCTAACAATATCGTCTAGATATTTAGGAAAAATAAATAATGTACTACTTTTTATATTACATAAAATGCAATAAACCATACAGATAGATATATATTACGTCAAGGCAACACAATATCCTGTTGGTATCTTGTGGATAATCTGGATATTTATGAGCTTGGCCACTCCCAGTAATACAGAGAATTTAAAACGCCCGCGCAAAAAATTTCCCACAATCCATCTCGACAGTTGTTTGTTTTTGCATCGTGTATTATTCAGTTCTTTGATTTAGTGAAATTCGAGGTGAATTCGGTCGTTTGTCGATATTGGATGGGCTTAAAAATGACTGAAACTAACAAAACTGGTTGAGTTTGACTTAGTTTTTTCTTATACTCATAGTTCTAGCCTTGTTCTAGCAGAAATTCTATCCTAAATCCTAACCTCAACTAATGTCGAAAAACGACGAACGACTCAGGGTCTCACAAATGTCTCACAATGAAAAATTTGTGACAAAATTATAGGTGAAAATTTGTTGAAAGCGCTTATTCTTTATCCCTAAACCCATTTTCGTGTTTGATCTATTCGAACAGAAATCCTATTTTTGTGTTTAAATTGTGAGTTTTTGGAAGGTTTGGTGTTAGAAATTATACCTGTATCCCCTGTGTGCTAACTTTGATGTAAACTGTTGCTGCTAGGCTCCATAAAGGGATTTTATCTGGAATAATCTGGTATAATACCATACGATCGAAAAAAACGGCGTCAGAAGTTGGAAATGAAGATTGCTGTTATTTTGTATGTAAAATTATATGGGGAATGTCATCGATCGTAATTTTCAAGCCAACTGAACGCCGTTTTTTTTTTTCGATGGTACAGTATAAATTGAAAGCTCTGAACTCATACAAATAAACTTCTAAATTTTGACGCAAAATTCATTGACATAATATGTAGGTATATTTTAGAGCTGTTGATAAAAATATCTAATGAATAACGTCAAAATGTGGCTAAATTAAACTAAATTGCGTACGTTTTTACTATAAACTAAGGATGAAGTAAGTATTGTCAAATAACAGTCCTCATATAATGTCCTAAAAATATTCTATAATGCTCCCAACATCATCCTTGTATTATCCTATAAATATCCTAAATAATCGTAAAAGGTTTGCCTAGGGATGTCTTGAAGATGACTTTTTTTGTCCAATCTGGATATCCCATAAATATCCTCCTCTGGTTTTTGGATATCCCTAAGATATTTACTATATTCTTGGTGGATATCCTTAAGATATCTATAGGACTGTGTTGTGTTATATGGGAGTATGTTTCAAAAAATAAGACGTGTTGAAAAATAAAAATGTACCTATTCAGTTTTTGTCAAATGATAAAATCTTTCGAATTGTGAACTTTTTGACAGCAACATTGCTTTAAACTAGGCATTCTTAATTAAACACTGTTAAAGTGAAAAAATAGATGTAGGAAAAACTATAAATACTCCTACAACATATATTTTAACCATTTTTATAGTGCAAAACGACCAGAAACCTTCATATTATCTTTTTTTTTGGATAAAAATACTTCAGCCCTTCAATTGAGAAAATTTGGCTGTAAAATCTTTCATATTGTAGGAAATCCTTAAATTCTGGCAACACCGATATACCATAAGGAGAAAAAATGAACCTTTTATACAGGGTCATGCGTGTAGAAGCATCTAACTTTCATAATGCAATAGGTCCCTATGACGCTCGACTAAAAGCCCATTTAGCCATCTTGGGCCCCCCTACTATAATTCTTTCAATCAAAAATTAAAGAGTACTCTTAGTATGAGTCAGACAAAGACAATCTTATTGGAGGTTTTCTAAGACAGACAAAGACGAGAAATAAATGGAGAAAAACAAAAATAATGAAAGTTGTCTTAAGTTATCAAAGAGTATTTGTTGCAGAAACCATTCATTTCTTTATATGTATTTAAATTATATTTATGTATGTGACTTTGATTGTATATTTATATTTATAATAGTAAAATTATGTCTATTGTACAGTTTAACTGTAAATTTAAATGTTATTGCTTCATGACCTTCATGGTACGAAATTTTGTGGTTAAAATTATAATTATTTATAGAACATTGATAGAACCTAATATTTCTATGATTTTTTAGCATTAGATTATTTTAAGCAATATAACGAATATTTACTTTAATATTTTTGGTATTCTTTATTTTCGTAAACCAATTTTAATTTTATCACACTAAAAATTGATTTTTGAATTGATTATACAAATTATTTTGAAAATAAACTTGGTCTCATAATTTTTAAAAATTATATTTTTTGTTTTAGGGGATTTAAGTTTTCTTTTGCATGTTATGTTGGCACCAATGATACATTTCTCTGGATTTATTTAAGGATGGTAAATTTAGAAATAATTCGATCTTATTTATCTTTTATTTGATATTAAATCGAAATATTATATTATTTATCTCTTTACTCAGTATTTTTTATACTATACCCATATTATACAGTGTGTCCAATGAGGAAATATAGCATACAATCGAAAAAAAATGGCGTCAAAGCTGGCTTAGAAATAATCTGTGACAATTTTAGCTAAGTCAAGCCCTAGACGTCATTAACTTGGCCCGTACTCTTCTTTATTTTCTAATTGCGCTTGCTGCCAGTTGGCTGTTGTATTTTATTTTATATACAGTAAAACCTGAGTAACACTGATTTTTAAATGGTGTAGTTTAAAATTTGTCGTTGACACCCTTTTTTTTCGATCATAACGGTATTATATTTCTTGAAATGTTTATTATCCTGTATCTTTAAAACTACTCATTTCCGGACCTATGTTTATAGGAACTTTTTTCCATGTTTTTTGATAAGGGATCATGAGCACCCTGTATTATAAATATCGATATATTTACAAAAATATCGATATTTTTACAAAAATATCGATACATTTACAAAAATATATCGATATATTCAAAATATCGATACCGCCTTCCCATTTCTAGATAAATTTGTCATTCGTTCGATTTGACATTTGACAGAAGAATTTTCTAAAAATTTTTGGTGATCCAACAGCAGAGCCATAAATGGATATAATCATTATCACGAATTATGTTAACTAAAAAACCAAAACCCAGCTCATTCAACCCAATCAAGTGGTTAAAAAGGGGTGTTCTAGTTGCTTGCGTTGTCGAGGGACTATCCTTCGCATTTGCTTACGGCGTTTGGTATAAAGTTAACACAGATCGAGGTGAGTAATTTTTCGGTGACTATTTTAAGCAGAATGCATACTGGTTTATATTTGATCAAAAAAGGTGTAAAAATCGTAGGAAGTCAATGTCATTTTAAGGTAAATGCTCAGTGAAAGCACAAAAAATCTTTATTTAAGTGTATGCCTGAATAATCTCCCTTTATTTACGTTTTAAACACGTTTTATCAACTTTTTATTATTTTTCTTCACAGATCTGAGGTATTACCTCAAAGATAACTATCCATACTTTCTGGAATTATATTACAAAGCAGGTGAGACATTGGATTCAAACTGCAGAGTAAGACAACTGGATAATACTTACTGGGATGCCAACAAAGAACAGGTATGGCATAAAATATATAGTAACAATACAAGACTTACAAATCTTTTTAAGCTTTGATGGCTAAAATTCTCCAACCAATATTTTGGCTCACTGCTTTCGGTGGTCTAGGTTACGGATTGTTAAGTCTTGCACCAAGTGCAGAAGAACTTGATAAACAAAGCAAGGTAAAGTGGGTTTTATATATTTAACACATTTGCTACCAATAATGAATAAACTTAGACTGAGACCATTTGTCTCAGTGAGGCACTTGGTAGCAAATGTGCTAATCTAGTATATTGGTGAAATTAATTTATAAATTTTCAGAACTACCCAGGCATAGAAAAAAATCCAAAGCTTGTGCACGATAAACAACAACAATTTGTGAACGTGCTTCAGGCAGCAGTCGAGTCAGACAAACCCCTCTATAGACTAAGTAAAGAAGAGATAGATAAAGCTATAAGAAAGTAACCTGTTAATAAATTACCTATAAAATAACGTAAAATAGTTTAAAACGTAGTCACATTTAGCTTTTCTAAATAAATTAAACAAAAATACTAAAAAATGGACCTAATAAGTGAAGGAACTGATAAAATAAATATTTTAAAATCAAGAGAATTAGAAAGAAAGTTGAATTTGCAGAAAAAACAGGAGACAAAGAAATCAACCCTTGCCGAAAATGAACAATTGGATTATTTTGAGAGAACATTTAGTGAGAAGCAAGCGTATATAGAGAATTTGATAAAATTATCTGAAAATTTGCCTAAAGATCAGTTGCCGGAACATTTTAATATTATTTCTAAGGAGATTCTTTTACTGCAAAAATACGTTGCGGCATCTAGTTTGTTTTTACGTAACTATTTCTTGCAAAAATGTCAGAACATAATACAGGAACTCAGTAACAAAACAAGGGATCTAGAAAATGAATTGTTGCCCAAGAAAAAGTTTGGCTTTCGGAATAAAACCAAACCAAAACTGTTGGAGAATAACGGTAAGGATGTGGTCGATTTTAATGGAAAACTGAGTGATTCTTCAGCAAAAGAAAGTGTAAATGAGGAGAAACAGAGTCCAAAAATTGAATGTGGGTTTTATAGAAGAAAGGAAGAAGTTTTGTGTTTAAGTGATGAAGAAATATATAAAAAAGATGTTTCTATAGAAAAACTAACCAACTGTGTTGTATATTTGAAGGGTATACCGAGTACTTTGCACTTAAACCATCTGACAAACTGTAAAATATTTTCCGGACCTGTTTCAACCTCCATTTTTGCAGAGAATTGTTACAATTGTACGTTTGTTATTGCCTGTCAACAATTAAGGCTGCATTCTTCCGAAAACGTTGATATATACCTTCACGTTACTAGTCGAGCTATTATGGAGGATTGCAGTAAGATATCTGTAGCGCCGTATAACTGGGTGTATGAGAATATCAATAAACACTTTGTTGAAGCTGGGATGGATTTATCTGTGAATAACTGGAGGTGTATTGATGATTTTAACTGGTTGAACACCACCAAACATTCGCCGAATTGGCGAGAAATGGATCAAAGTGTAAGGGTTAGAGAATGGACTTGAAATTTGTAATTCCTATTGTAGTTTTGATATTTATGTTAAATTTTATATAAAACAATTTTGTATATACACTTTGCTTTCACATTAAATGATAAAGAGCTTTTAATTTCTGTTTTAATGTTTAACTGTAATTCAGTATGAAAAAGGCTGATACGTTTGCTGGAACTTAAGTATAAAGTTCTTATTATTTCTTAAGAACTGATAATAGTATAGTCGCTGCCCTACAGTATAATTATTGTACAATCTTCGTGACTGATATCCTTTTATACTTAGTTTTAACTTGAGAGAATTGAATTATAGAGAAAATGTGATAAAATCTGTAAAATTTTTAAAAAATGACAATTTTTAGCGAAAAGCATGAAGTTAGGCAAAGACTGTAAAGCGCCGTCCAGACGCAACGACTTTCTTGCGTCGACAAAACGTTGCGTGGTGAAAGGATGGTAGAATAATGGTGGGTTCACGAGTAGCGAAAACTAGCTACAACAGTGTTTCCTATATAATTGAATACAAAAAACTGAACAGCAAGTCGTTATAATGTAGACATACGTGGCCTGTACGTTTTATTTGCAATGTTTTTTTCTCTGGTTTTTTCCAAGAAAACAAATCGTATGATACGTCGTTGCGTGTGGACCACGCTTAAAATTTGAATTTTCATTATGATGATTATTGGCCCGAAAAATGAAAAGAAGAAATGACATTCTTACGTCACTTGCCCTCTATTTACAGAATATTTGAAATTTTTTTAACCCAAATCTGACGTCTCCAATTCCAATAAAGATTTATGTAGTTTTTTAAAAAATTCCAGATAATTTGAGAACATAGAACCATCGTAAACTATATAAGGTATTCAAGTAATAACACGCATAAAGTCTTTGAAGGTTGGTAAACATTTATTCTAGCATTATTTTCAAAAGTAAATGCGATTCATATTATTTGTTTTTGGCAATAGTTTCAAATGTTTCAAATGCACAGTACAAGGGTAATTTATTTTGGTACATGTTTTAGTTTGGTAAGAAACATGGCTTGGAGGTCGCACGGGAAAAATAACGCTGAACTGGTCAGAAATCTAAAGAGTAGGTTAATATCGACCAAACAGGTATTTGTTTTGTTTATTTCATATTTTTTTAGCTAATGGAATTATACAGTCCGATGTGGTGGAACAGGCAATGTTATCAGTGGATAGGGCGAATTATTGCAAAAATAATTCATACATGGACGCGCCACAAAGCATAGGTTTTGGCGTAACCATCAGTGCACCACATATGCATGCACACGCATTAGAATTACTAAAAGATCAGTTGGTTAATGGAACTAGGGCCTTGGATGTTGGGTCTGGCAGTGGATATTTAACAGCTTGTATGGCTAAGGTGATGGGAGACAAGGGGTAACATTTTAAGAACCATTTATTTTGAATTTTCAACATCTGTAATGCTTTTAGAGTTGCTGTAGGTATAGACCATATTCCAGAATTAAACAAAGCAGCTGTGCAGAATATAACAAACGATAATCCGGCACTGCTGGAGTCGAATAGAGTGCATTTAGTAACAGGTGATGGTAGACAGGGTTATCAAGAGTATTCTCCATATGATGCGATCCATGTTGGAGCAGCTGCACCTGTCTTGCCCAAAGCATTAGTTGACCAACTGAAGGTAAGATGTTATTTGTAAATCATGAAGTTTCTTAAATAATTAAATTCAAATATAAAAACCATAGATAAAATTTAACAGAGATATTTAATACACAGTATCTCCCTGGATAATTTAAACAAGAGGATTTTTTTTTTATTTACATTTAGAGAAAGATGCATTCTTTATAAAAGAATTTGCTTGTTCTAAAATGGTTATTTCCATACTCTTTTGAGAGAGAAAAAAAAAATGGCAAATATAGATGCATTCCAATCAACATGAATTAATTTCTTTTATCATGAGCGAAATATATGACTTTAATCAAATTTAATAATAACCAACTCAACCAACCATCAATTACTGAAAATGAAATATTGCCATAGAAATGCATTGTGATTTTTGGAACATTTTTTTTCTTTAAAAAGGTATTAGTTTAGTAAATGAAGATAGATAGATAGATAGAAGGTTGAAATCACGGCCTAATTCGTCGACATTTTAGGCGGGTTGTGTATCTTTTGGGGAGTAGTTTTAGGAGAAAAAATTGTAACACCGTGCTCGGCCAGCTTTGGCCGAAAAAATGGCCCTAAATGGCCGAAAAATCAGTTTTTCGCAAATATCTGCCAAGATATGTAATTTACAAATTTTTCTTGGAATAAAAAATGAAGCTTAGGTAATTACCTACAAAAATGGTCCTTATCATTTTTTACGTAGAATTAGTAGTTTTAGAGATATTCCGCCTCGGAAAGATTCCTGAATTTTCTCTCCAAGTTTTAACGGCTCCAGAGATTTCATAAGTAGGCCAGTAAACGTAGCCGAGCATTATATGTAATGGAAAAAATTAGTAACCAACCGATCTCAACGGGAATGTGTAGATGATGATCTCCTATTTAACCCCTCAAAAGTCCCATTCGGTCCCAGTGGGGGAAGTTTGAAAAATCAGCTATCATTTTTGCGTTAACAGTATAGTGTTAATATAGATAAACCAAGTATAAATTTAAGCATTAAAACAATTAAAAATAACGTTTAAATATTATTTATTAAATAAAATTATTGTTAAGAAAATTATTATTAAATTAAAGGTGTTAAATAAAATCTGCTATGACGTCATCCTGAGCGTCATTTTCATCCTCAACTAAAATACAAAAGTTTGTGCAACTGATTCCGTAGCACTGACCACACTTTGAAGAACATTTAAGACCCAGTTTTGTACAAGAGGAATTTTTAGAGCATTGACTCTCTTTGCAATAATTGCAAAAACATTATTTTAGTGCGTCAGGAGGCGCCACATCTGTTGATTGAATAGGTGTTAATTGCCTTTTGATCTTTCTTCCATCCATATTGTAAAGGATCTTACTTGTTACCAATCCATTTTTGAATCTAAAAAATAAAACTTATAACATTTCCTGTAATAGATATATCGTTACATTTACAGTTGTGTACGAAAACGAGTTTTGCAGAGTTTTCAGTTGGAGGCAAATTAGCTAAATTAAAGGTAGTCTTAAGGGCTTGTCTTGATGTAATCCTATTGTATAGAGTGTATCTCAGATGGTTAATATGTTTGATATAGCTTGGGCAGTGATATAGCTTTAAAAAATAATTTAATTCTGACTAGAACAAGTCAAAAATGTGCCTGTCGATACTGAAAAAAGATGACTTGTTTCAGTCAGGATTAAATTATCTTTTAAAGCTATATCACTGCCCAAGCTATATTAAACATATTAATCATCTGAGATACACTCTATATTGTTACGTTTTTCGTCGGTTCCGTGTGGATATTGTGGAATTCGAGTTTTCTGTTATCTTGTTGTATAAACTTTGTTCTAAATTCAATATTTTATTATTGAAGCTGGCCTGTATGTCTTTAGAATTTTCTGCGATTTTATCTTCTAAATTAACTTCCAAGTCAGTTATTTTACTATTTAAATTGTTCAAGTTGTCGTCTAATTTTTGAGAATTCTTTGTCATTTTATCATTCAAACTCTCTTCCAACTTTTGAGAATTTTCCGTTATTTTATCTTCTAATTTGTGTAAGGACGAGTCAAGGTCACCTTCCAGCTCAAAGCAAAATGTGTCAGGATCCTCACCGTCCTCAATCAAAACGTCTCTCAGTCTGGCTTGTAAAATGCTTTTCTTTCCATTTGTTTCGCATTCCCTTTCTTCCAGTACGCATTTTAATTCCGACACTTTCAAGTCTTTCAACAATTTTTTCGGAGCCATTGTCTGTCTTTTTATTTTCCTAGTCTATCACACACGCCACACTTGACACCAATTGTTACGTTTTTCGTCGGTTCCGTGTGGATAGAAAGTCACAATTTATTTAAACACTATTTATTTAACACTAATTAACAAAAACAATAACGATAAAAGACTTATAGAACTATTTACAAACGATTTATAACTAAGAATTTATTTTGAATTTAGCGCGTCAACTGCACCGGTCGATTTATAACTACCCTCTCTAGGCCACAGCCGCCGGCCTACAGCTAAAAGAACTCTAGAATAGTCCATAGATTTTGCGTTTTTCTTGTTCATCAAACGGTTGTCGAGAAAAAAATAAATATACTTATTAAGAGCCCGCCTTAATTCGTTTTCTAACGATTTTGTATTTTTTAGATTAATTAGGAAACACCCTGTATATGCATATCACAGGCAACCAAATAAACTAGTAACCTCTAAAAATTATTCTTCCTACCACAAGCGACAGACCGTATTTTTAGTGTGTACTAAATTATTTTATCAAAATTTCACCATATAAGTTTCCAGGCAATGATCAGGACAAGCCCTTAAGACTACCTTTAATTTAGCTAATTTGCCTCCAACTGAGAACTCTGCAAAACTCCATTTACTCAGGACATGCTATCAGGTAACTGTAAAGCAACTGTAAAGCTATATCGCTATTATAGGAAATGTTATAAGTTGTATTTTTTAGATTCAAGAAGAAATTGGTAACAAGTACGATCTTTTAGAATATGGATGGAAGAAAGATCAAAAGACAATCTGACACCTATTCAATCAACAGAAGATGTGGCGCCTACTGACCTACTAAAATATTTTTTTTTGCAATTGCAAAGAGAGTCAGTGCTCTAAAAATTATTGCTCTTGTAGAAAACTGGGTCTTAAATGTTCTGCAAAGTGTGGTCAGTGCAACGGAATCAGTTGCACAAACTTTTCTATTTTAGTTGAAGCGGAAAATGACGCTCGGGATGACGCCATAGCTGATTATATTTAATAACTTTAATTTAATAATAATTGTTTTAACAATAATTTTATTTAAAAAATAGTATTTTAACGTTATTTTTAATTGCTTTAATACTTAAATTTATACTTGTGGTTTATCTATATTAACACTACACTGTTAACGCAAAAATTATAGCTGATAAAACTGGAAAATTTATAAAACGCATAGTAAAAAATTGCCCTATCTCTATTACTATTTATTTTAGAAAAAAAATTGATTGAAGGTAGACTATTCTAAATTGAATTCTCTACATAAAACATATAATAATAATAATAATACTTTATTTTGCATGAATATCATTTACAACAAATGTAATTTACAAATAAAAAATAGCAATACAAAAAAACATGCAAAAAATGAACTGAAGACAATTAAAATTGGTTTAAATTCAGTTCCTGTGAGATCACAATATCAGCTAGTATAAATGTGTGTTCTGTAGCTAAATTATTTTACTGTAACTTATCTACAAATATAAGTAAATTATATAGTAATCCTATGTCTAAGAAAATTTAGTATGAAATTCAAAGAAATAAATACAAAGAAGTATTTTATACTAAAATAATTTTGAGGTAAAAAAAAAAACTAAGAGGGAAGAGAACTATCCAGAAAATGTTTTTTAAGTTTTATCCACTGATGTGTTATTTTTTGAGAACTGTAGAAAAAAATTATTTATATTCGTTGGGTTATTTATAGAATCAGGAATATATCTAATATTAACATTATTGGTTATATTTAAATTTTTTAGTTTTTTCCATAAAACCTTATTGTTATGTTTATTAGTGCAAAATTCTAGATATCTTTTTTTTTCATGTTGTATTGCAATATTTGTCTGATTCCGCATTTGTTTATAATAATCCCAATGTTCCGGTTTTCCAGTGTTTTTGTATTTTTTAAAAGCCTTATCTCGCATTTTAATCATAAGTTTTATAATGTCAGTTAACCATGGTGGTTTATATTTCTTATTTTTAACTGTTTTTAAAGGTGTTAATATATGAAATATCATTAATATCAAATTATTAAAATAAGATAACTTATCGTCAATATTTTTAATATACATATTATATCCTCAAATGGCGCGCTTTCTAAAAAAGATGCTAATAGTTCTTTATTTATATATTTGAAGTTTCTTACTTGGGGTTTGGTTTCAGCTTTTTGTACAACCTGAGCATTTAAAGTAGCATGCACCATTAGATGGTCTGAAATATCGGGTACGTTAAGAGTTGAATAATGTATTTCTGTTTCTGTTTTAGGGATAATAATATAATCTATCAAACTTTGAGATTTATCTGTAATTCTTGTCGGAATATCAATAATTTGTTTTAAATTGTAAGAATTTAAGCAACAATCAAAATCTTGAACGCTTTTGTTGTCCAATGACAAATAATTTAAATTGAAATCTCCACCGCATACACACACACACACACACAAGTTTTTCACATTCCATTGTAAAACATTTTAGCGCGTTCTCAAACTCATTCATAAAATCCAAGAAATGTCCCTTTGGCGGTCTATAGATTGATCCAAAAATATATACATTATTAAATTTAAATTTTATCCATAATTGTTCCAAACTTTCTGATTGCTTTGATGTTAGAACTTCATATTTAAAATTATTTTTAAAATACATACCCACTCCACCACCTCTCATATCTCTGTCTGTTCTAAGAAACGTATATCCTGGAACTTGGACATGGTCACTAGGTATACGCTGAGTCAGCCATGTTTCTGAAATGCCCAAAATTTCAAAAGACTTTTCCAATAATAAATTCTTCAAGTCTGCGAAATG